GCAGTGAAGGAGGCCTCCCTTCTACCCGTTAGCCCAGTGGTTAGGGTTCTCACCTGGGATGTGGGAGACCCCGATCTAGTTCCCCTCTCTGCCTGATGAGGAGAAGGGGTTTGAACAGTCCTCCTTCCCCCGCCAACACCATTTGTGGGGAGTGAGGTGGCCTCTGAGCATGCCCACCAAATCAAGTGTGTCTCCCCCTGTAGGCGAGAGAGAGAGGCGTGCCTGTCTTCTCTCAGTGCCTGGGGGCTGAGGCAGCAGGAGATAGTCCAGATGTCTGCTTGAGACAGCAGTGCACGTTTAAAAGCAGAAACAGGTGTCTAGGGAACTTTTACTGCACATATTCAGGCACTGAGTGAATTTAGGATTAGGTGGCAGCCGACGCTTAATTTGTTCTAGGGCTGAGCCCAGCACCACTGGGCCGGGCAGTTCAGAGCCCCGGCCCCGCTGGACTTGCTGCATCAGTTATGAATGTAAAAAAAAAATTGCTTGAGCCATGGCACCTCTTTCATTACACATTAAGCACTGGTGGCAGCCAAGCTGTAGTTCTGTGGCTCACAGTGGTGCCTAAATTTGGGCTTTAGCATCCTGAGTTCCACTGCAAATCCGTCCCTAGGTGCCTAACCTGCCTAGATGCTTTTGAAGATCACACAAGGTGTCTGTCTGCATCCTTAGGTGCCTAAATACCTTTGAAATCTGGCCCTTCGAGTGTAGAGGACACATTTAATGGAAGTTTATGTCTAAAGCCCAGATCTCTATTCCTGTACTTAAATGCAGTTTTGTCGTGGAACTTCCTATATTTATTTCCTTTTTAAGTAGACTTGCCATAGATTGCTGAGTTTTGATCTGTGTTATTAGAGGGAAGGCTTTTCATCAAATGTAACATTGCCTTCTTTACCAATGCAGTTTTGTGTAATGGTATCAAAGTAAAGAGATTGCTGTTTAATTCTTTTTAAACCATACTACACATGCCTGGTGAACTGACCATGAGAACCGATAGCTCAATTGCTTTTGCAAAAGTGATTAGTTCATGTAACACAGATCCTGGTCAGAAAAATTGACTTAAAAAAACACACTCTTGAGTAACACAGGTGGGAAAAACGTAACTGGAGTGTCAAAATTTCAACTTATTTTTGCATTCCTAGAGCAAATTAAGTGTAGCTATTTTTCTGAAATGAATTTACTAAAATTAACTTTTTGCAAACAAATCTTTATTTTCTCCAAATTCTACATGTATTATGTATATGTATGGGGGGAGGGAGAGGGGGAGAAGGGCTGTGTGCAGTAGTGGTTTTTTATTTTTTTATTTTTATTTTTTTACCATTTTTTGGCTTTGTTTTTCAGTTTGGAGGAATTAATTTCTGTTGCCAATTTTGGTTGGGTTAGCTTAGTCACACTTTGAAAAATGAAGAATTGGTCTGCTTAGAAAACTACTGAAACAGAACAGTTTTAAGTCTTCATAAACTTTTATTTATTTATTTATTTGGACATTTGAGATCAATGAGACTGCCTGTCTGACTAATGCTTTGTGGGTGTACGCTCTAGAACCCGGGTGGCCAACCTATGGCTCCGGAGCCACATGCGGCTCTTCAGAAGTTAATATGCGGCTCTTTGTATAGGCACCGACTCTGGGGTTGGAGCTACAGGCGCCAACTTTCCAGTGTGCTGGGGGGTGCTCACTGCACAACCCCTGGCTCTGCCACAGGCCCTGCCCCCACTCCACCCCTTTCCACCCCCTCCCCTGAGCCTGCCATGCCCTCACTCCTCCCCCTCCGCCCCAGAGCCTCCTGCACAACACAAGACAGCTGATCGGGAGGTGCGGGGAGGGAGGGGGAGATGATGATTGGCAGGGCTGCCAGTGGGTGGGAGGCACTGGGAGCAGGTGGGGGAGCTGAGGGGTGGCGCTGCTGATGTATTACTGTGGCTCTTTGGCAATGTACATTGGTAAATTCTGGCTCCTTCTCAGGCTCAGGTTGGCCACCCCTGCTCTAGAAATATAATTATAGAATATTAGAGTTGGAAGAGACCTCAAGAGGTCATCTAGTGCAACCCCTTGCTCAAAGCAGGACCAACCCCAACTAACCCTGTATCTTATTGAATGCTCCATATGAGAGACACTTTGGAGTTACTTTAACATATTAGCTGCTCCAGCATGGAATGTCCGTGAGTAAATCCATTGCTTGCACACACAAAGTCTGAAAGAAACTTGTTTTGTAGGTTCTGTTGAAGTACTCTGAGAATGATATTGCCATGACAACACTGAATAGCCTTCATACACCAATATTTGCATCCTTCTTGGCATTTGCACAAATAGAGCCTGAAAGGGCGAGGTTTGTTTTTTTTAAGTGGTAGATAAAATATCATCAGTTTGTTTAATCATCATGATAAGAGCGGATGAGCAGATCTTGTTCCTGGGCTAGGGAATGTCCATAGTTGTTTTGTAACCTTTGGAGGTTCTGATGCACAGAAGCTAATAACTGGAAAGAGATCTATTGGGCTATCCAGTCTGTCTTGCTGCCAAGCAAGATTGTTCCCTATAATCAATTTCCTAATGCAGCGTCCAGTCTCATTTCTAGAAGTTCTAAGCGATGAGCCTGCTACCAGTTCTGACTGAATTTGTCCCGGGAGGGGGATCAATATTATTGACTAGCTCCAACCTGCCTTTTTGTTTTGGCAACCAATATCTCCCTGTTCTGATCAATTTAGACACTTACACACATTTAAAGAAACTAATTTAAAAAAGAAGTCCTGGTTTTATCTGCATATGTGATTCACAGCACAGTTCTGGCATTTAGACTTAAAAAACAAACAAAAACTCAGAAAAATTCTGCTTACACACAAGCATTTTCCATTACATTAAACAGTGAGCTCTCTCTAAAAATACAGGCCCCAAGTCTGCTAGCATTTGCTTTACAGTAGTGTACATGGAGTTAATCCTGATTTACTCCAGTTTGTGAGGCTGATCAGGAACACTGTCATGAGACCGCTTGCAGACAATACTTCCAAACATCCCTTATCCATGGATGAAATGGGAGCAAATACGTTCTTCCCAAAGCTTTCCTGTCTTCTTCCATGAGCATCTTTTAGTATTCCCTTCCCTACTTCTTCAGATGAAGTCCAGCTTGTCTAAGAAAGAGTCCATGTTCACAAACATGAATACCGCTAATTGTGTATTATTGGTCCAAGAAAGCCCAGCTCATCAATCAGCGCTGCTTGGCTTGTTGAAAGCCACATTGATAGGCACTTGGGCTGCATCACATCAAGAAGCATATGAGCTGCATAGAATGGGGAGGAAGGGCCTCTTAGAGGCAGCCAGAGGGCAATGTCTTATTAAAAAACGAATCATGATACTATTTGTGTCTCCCCTTCCTAGATCATTGCAGTACTGCAAGGCCTGCTGAGGAACCATGTGCACAAGAACCCATGCCCAGATTCACCACTTGATTTCTGCAGGAGCTAGGTACCTTGGTACATTATCTTCTCCCATGGCCAGCAATGGGGTGTCTCTTTCTGAACTCAGTTCTCTGTGTAGCTGGCTAAATACAAACGATCCTCCCCAACCTGCAATCAGATTAATTTGTACAGCACTAAGCAGAGTAGGGTCCCACTCATGACTGGGGGTTTAGGATGTAACCATAAAGCAAAGAATCGTTCGTGAAAAGTTTTACAAGTCAGAGTACACAGATGAGTTTGCTGTGTTTCCGTGGCATCCTATGTCTTATTCACAAGGATTGATACAGCAAGCAGGGATCTGAGAAAATGTTCACAAATCCCCACAGTTCTTGGGGGCTTAGAGTTTCACACTCAGTGGAGATCAGAAACAATTGTGTGTGACCTAAGTGACCAGTCACATGCTACAGCTAATGAGTCACTAAAGTGAACAATTCATGAGCACCCCATAGGCTGAATTTAATTAATCAAATTATTAGGTGAAAATTATAATTCATGATATTTGCAGGAGTTGGGCTCAGTTGATGAATGATTCTTGAATAGAAGAGTAAAATTGGTGCATTTGTAATGGATAATTCAACCAACTTTACTCCCCCAGGGCAAGGTTCTCCTATTAACCTGGTGTGCTATTCACATGAGGATATGTTGTGATGGGATGTATTAAAGCTGTAATGCAAACACCATCCTCTTGCTATATGAACATCACCACAAGGCAGCTTCATTGCACCACGACACCACACTCCAGCAAAGGGCTTGTGCCTCCGCCTGGGCTCTCACCCAGGAAACTTTGACAGGCCAGATTTTCGAACATGCAGTTGCATGCAAATGCACACTCTACACATACAAATTTGAGTTGATTTTGTACAGAAGTGCCCACTTGAATGGGCAGACACAGGGTTGGTGCATGCAAAACTAACAGTACAGGTAATAACTTGGAGCAAATCCATCCCCCTCTTCTGTGATTGTGGGGAAGTGGTGTGGTTCTGCTGAACATAACAGGACAAGACCCCATCAGTCATAGTTCTGAGTCCTCCATGCTCAATGTACTTTGTGTTCACTTTAAGTACAGTGTGTCAATAATAACAGAGAGAGAGGCAGGAGGAATTCCATCACAGCTTCTTTTTAATCAGATTTTTTTTGTTATAATTCCGTTCCCTGAGGAAGGCTCACATCAGATGCAGCTTCTGCGTTTCAGCAAAGTTCCTGCTTTTTGTTTGTTTGTTTGTTTTAAGCTCAACTTTCCAGCTGGGTTGATAAGGAAATCAAGTGACTTTGCCCAAAGTCATACAACAAGTCAGTGGCTAAGCGGCAACAAGAACTCAGGAGCCTTCTGCTTCTTCCTAGTCCCTTTTCTCTAAGCATCAGCCTAGACTGCCTCCTGTTTCATCTCTGTTACCTATGATCACAGCACACTGTCTCCCAGTGCAGGTGGTTGCGGTTGTTCGACAGTGTATTAGAGCACAGGTGTGTCACAGCATGCTAGGAACTCTTCTCCTCTGTTTGTACAGGATTGAAGTGACTCCTTACCAGCAATGTAGAGCCATATCGCTGCTTTAGCAGTACATGGTAAAAATCATCCACTGGGAGAATGAAGAAAATGCATTTAGATAGTTACAGGAAATCTAAGTAGCAGATGCATAATAACTTAGAACGTAAATACTGGAGCACAGCAATTCTCATGCTGTGGTCCATGGGGAGGAGGCCGGTGACATAATGCTGATGCATTTTCCTTGTTTCCGGCTGCTAAATTGCACTAAATACTTTCCTAATGTTACTCTTCTACGTCAGTAACTGCCAAGTATGGTGGGTGACGGCAAGTGGAAGAGGAGGTGATCTGCATGGTGGCTAATCAGAGCATAGATAGCTCTAACATGTGATCATCTTGTGGGCCACGCAACAATGGAAGCTGTGAACCCCTGCTGAGGCACTCTTATTAGTCATTTGTACTGTGCAGGGAAGATGTAATTAACTAAGAGCCATGCTACTGAGCTACCCAAATTGGGGCCGGGTAGTTTTTAGGGGACAGTCCAAATAAGATTTGGGCAACTTCATAAAAGAAAAATATGACAGCATTCTACAGTAATAGTTCCAGAGAGTCTGGGGAAGATGCAGTGTTCTGGATTATTACTGTAGCATACAGCAGTGTTTTTAAAATGAGATAAGTTTGGTACAGCCTACTTTAGCGAGCTACCTCTCTGGCGGTGCTTTAAAGACAAAAAGCAAAGGTGCCCATTTGTCTTCTGTTTCTTTCTTTAAACCCAGTCATGGTCACACTCCTACGATGACAGATAAATATTGGGAAAAGAGGGTGTGCCTTGACTGCACTGAAAACTCCATGTAACTCCACTGGAGTTACGTCCACAAAAGACTGGTGTCAGTGAGAGGAGAAAACACTATGTGCATAGGGCAAGATCTAAGTCTGCCTAGCTCCATGTAAGTTAATGGAGCTATGTTCTTTGTACTGCAGGAAGATCAGAGGTGTCAGAAAGGAGGGAGTTGCCACTTGGTCTTGTGTATGCTTTAATGTAGGGTATGTCAGCATCACAGTCACACTTCTGACTGCAGCATATAGACCTAGCTAGCTCAGGTACCAATTGCAGCGAAGCTATGGCCACACGGACTTCAGCAGGGGCTGTACTAGCCTGCCCAGAGCCCCAAGTATGTACTTCTAGCCCATGCTGCTGTGGCTTCACTATTATTGTACCCAAGCTAGCTAGATCAAAGCTAGCTCATGTATGTCTACATGCTGCAGCCACACCTATGACTGCAGTGCACGCGTAAGAGACATCCTTAGAGTGAAATCCTGGCCCCGTTGAAGTCAATGGGAGTTTTTCCATTGACTGTCAGTGGGGCCAGGATTTCACCCTGAATGCACAGTTACCCTACGTAAGAAGATCTTCCACACCCCTTGTGCTAGCTGTTTTGAAAGTGATTCAGTGAAGAAGGCACTCGTAATGATTCCACTTTGGATCTGAGGAGGAGAACAAGAATCTATTAAGGCAGCAAAGGGCACAAACACAATGAAGGCTCCTCACCTCTGTTGCAGTGAAGCAAATCTTTCCATCCTTTGATAAACTGCGAAATACACCTAGGGAGAACAAAGACAGCTTCACTTCAATAGGAAGAGGTGGGAGGAGCTTGTAACATATAAAGAACAAAGTTGTTTCCATTCTGGAACAGCCCAGTTTCATCTAGTCCAGTATTCTGTTTCCTTCACTGGCTGATACCTGAAGATTCACAGGGAGACCAGATGTCGCAGTTTTATAGGGACAATCCCAATATTCAGGGCTTTGTCTTATGTAGATGCCTATCACCCCCCACCCCCTGTGCTGATTTTTCACACTTGCTGTCTGGTCATCCTAGGTATGACACATACATAATACATCTCACAATGGGGTGGGAGGGAAATCCCCCCCCCCCCTGCATACCATCCACTGGCTCCTGGTGATCACGGTATTCTCTGAAGCAACTCACATGTGATCATTAAGTCCTGCACACTTATCAAGTAGTAACTGCAGGTGCTGTCTCGATTCATGTAGTTGTCAAAACTAAAGGTGGTCAAAAATTTTCCAACAAAAGGTTTGGCTATAGGAAAATGTTGATTCATCAACATCTAATGGTTCCATGGGAACATGGTATTTTTGGTGAAATATTGTTTTAAAAAAGATCAAAGGCTGAAATGTAACATTGATTTTTTTCATTTTGAAACTGTATTTTGTATTAAAATAAAGTTAAAGTGGATCATTTCAATTGACCAGAACATTTTTTTAAAAATTGCCACTTTGTTCAGATTCAAAATGAAAACAAACTTTAAAATCCTGGTATTTCCTATGACAGGTCTACTTCCTGCCCAACTGTAACCAAAACATCTTTTGACAGCGCCCCCACCACCACCACCACCAAAAAAAAAAACCAAAAAAAAAACCTCAAGGCTGGTTGGAAGATCCAGAATCATAGAAATGTAGGGCTAGAAAGGACCACAAAAGGGCATCTCCAGCAAGGACAATGAATTCCCTACCCTGGCAGGCAGCCAGTGCCATTAGGCTGCACTGTCCTTAACCTGTAGTTCTAAGGATATTGTGATAGGTGCTTGATGCAGTGTAAGCCCATATTTTCCATGTTCCGAGATCCTCACAGGGCTCTAGTTAGCCAGGAGCATGACTTACTTGCCATGGTTTTGAGACGGAGCATGCAGCACACAAAATCAGGGAAACAGATTCTCATGGAGGAATCGCTGTACCTCAGAGCCGTCACATGGAGGAGCTGGTCATCAACAGCCAGGCCTATGCACAAGAGGCGTAAAGAGCAGTGAACATGATAGCAACAGGAAGAAGCAAGGTCCAGCCAGTCTCTGAAATGGCAGGGAACTGTGGCTGTTATGTATGCCCAGTTTATACACCTACCAAGTGACCCATCCCTGCTTAATGTCCCCTAAGATGGTAGCTCCCTCCTTGAGGGCCCTCACAAATAAAATCCAGTCAAAATTCCTTCCCAGCCTCAAGTCTGGAGATCACTTTCACTTTGTACGTGTGAGCAAGAATCACAGCAGTAAAGCAACTAATCCCATTCCCCTTTGTTAATCCATCGCAGGCAGTGGACATGTAAAGAGTGATTAAAGCCTTAAATGCGTAGAACCTGGCTACACTCCTTGAGCCCAGACTTGTTGAAATCTGCCCTCAAGACTTCTAGGCACTGTCTAAGGCTCCAACCATCCCATCTTAAACTGCTAAGTGGTCAGGAGTTTGGTGTGGGCAGTCCTGAGGTATGGCATGTACTTGCCCCTGAAATCCATCTCTGTCAATGTCTCCCCATCTTTCAAAAATACCCTTACCCTTTTAATTGCAAAGGCCTGCATGAGTGTATTCACTTGTTGGCCCTAGAGGGGTTGCCTTTCCTTACTCCCTACCTTCTGCTCTTTCTTTGCCCTTTTGCTCAGATCCCTTTGGCTGGGTTTGTTAAAGCTTAAGAGGGTGGCTTTTCATTTTAACTGGTTGGAAATTATTCCATCATGGAGCATCCCAAGCACTTCATCAGGTTGATGCTTATGAAGAGCTGGGACCAGTTCCTCATCTGGTGTAGAAGAGCACTGAGCTGTGCGGATTTACACCAGCTGAGGATCTGGCTTATTATCCTTCTAAACATTAAGGCCTCAATTAAGGTTATTCAGCAAAGCAGGAGCTTAGTGATGGATTCCAGTAAAATGTTTCAATACATGCTTAATTGGGGCCTATATTTAGCAGCATTCTTGGGGTTAATTAGGCCCTTGTATGCTATTGCTGGGTCTGATTATTCTCCTTCCTCTCCCCACCTCCCCAGGTAAGAAAACCCATGCAGGGGGCGAGGGAGGCAGTCTCTTGGGGAGAAGAATCTGGCCTGTGCTGTATGGTGTGGGAGGAGGCAAGGTAGGGTGTGTGTGTGTGTGTGTCCTTCAAAAACTGCTTAGAGGGTACAATGTGCTGAATTTGCCATTTTTTAATATTCCCTTTATCCCTTCAGTATCTGCATGTGTGCAATCTTCGTCTGTATTTTATACTGTTGTGCCTTTATTACAATAGCGATACATTTCAGATCCCTGAACTCAGAGCTGCTTGCTACACCCTGATGACGCATCAGGAATTTCAGTCTCTAGAGCCCATGTTATATCTTCCTCCTGAAAAAAATCCACCAACTTTGTGGCTTCCATTGATTACGTTTTGGCTAGAGTTCCCCATAGGAGAAAAATTTATATTCTACTGGCAAATGCAACTTAAAAAGCCATTTAGCTAAATGGAAGGATCTCTAATGCAGATTTGTTGGACAGGCACTTCCTCTGGGATATCCTATCGCATATACAAAATGTAACCAGATATAACTAGACAAATTCAATTATGCAACAGAAACTGGATTGCTTGCTTAAAATTGCAGCACTAGTCTAGCCAACAGAGGTCAGTGCAAACTAAATAAAAGGTCTTTCAATGCCGCTTTCTCCTATACAACCAGTCACAGCCCTGGAGAGAGACTGAATGAATTAACCGGGCAGTGGCTGTTCAAACTTCCTTGCTCCTTTCCCCTACCAGGTGCTTCATCCCTGATCAAGAGAGAGCACCTCAGGGAGTGAGATGGAAATTAACTCTTTCTTTGGCCTCTTTGCTGAGCGTTATTGGCCTTCCCGCCACTTGGCAAATATCCATCATCAGCACCAGCTCAACAATGCTCCACTCCATTCCTGTGCCGCAGGACCACTCAGCAGGGGAAATGTCTTCTTCCTGAAACATTCTCTTTGGCTTGGTTACACGGGGAATGGATAGTGATCGCTTTGTCCTTGTGAGATGCATTACTCGCGGATAGGAGCAGGAGCTCACTAGATCTTTCATACAATCCCTCCACCCTCATCTTTCCACCACTCTCCTAATAGCACAGCTGAACATACCTGCTCTCTGTAGTGCATTCCTCAAATCGGAGATATCCAGGAATCCGGAACCGGTTCCCTCTACCCTCCTGAAAATGTCCTGGAAACCATTTTGAAAGAGTTCAGCTTCTTACTTTTAAGCCAACGCCAGTGGACCAAACTTGTGCTATGACCTAGCATGTTGACCACTTGCCAATGCATTTCACTTTCTCCTTAATGAATTAGCTTAGTGGAAACTCAGTGCAACGTCGGATAGGGGGACTAGAATAAGAAAGACAACTTTCCAGAAAGAACAGCTGAGTGATCCTTGCTCCTGGACTAAGGGGGCTTACTGATGGGGGGGGCAGTGAGGGATTGATGTTAATGCTCCTTCAGAGCATTGGCCTGGCTTAGTGCACTGAGACAAGGGGAGAAAGAAGACAGAGGGGAGCAGTGATCACCTTGGGATATCCCCCTGCCAACGAAGGCATTGATGTGGAACTGCAGGGTAAACATGTCTGAATGGTTATAGAGTTGTGACCTTTCGTGTATACCCCCTGCACTGTTTTACTTATTCAGACCAAAGCTTGTATCTCCATGACTCTGCCAACAGAAAGAGCCCATCAATAATGACTCAACTGAAAGAAGAGTTGCAGAACTCATTTCTATGGCACTGGGTGGGGTGACATCCTTCTGTACACTCCATATTCTAAATACAATAGGCTATGTACTCAGCTCCATTGACTTTAATAGGGCTATGCCCACTTATAGAACAGATGAGAATCTGGCCTAGTATGTTTAGCTTGGCAAAAACCATCCTGTGAGATACTAACCACCACCAAATGGTGGTAGGATGTAAATGGCAAGCATGGAGAACAGTTGTTCAGGATAGCCCAAACAGATCTAATAGGTGAAACCAAGGAACATTGATGGTACCAGAATATCTTTCCTAATTCTGGGGCCCCTTTCTCTGTCCTAGAGTCTCTTAAAGGAAGTGGGGGAGGGGGAGAAGGAGCCCTGTTACAGTATTTGCATTATTTAGAGAAGATAATGGAAAACCAAAGTCTGTATTGGCCAGGGAGCATGGCCTTTCCATTGATTGTATTATCCTGTGCAATGTGACTGGCTGCCATGAAATAGGGCAATAGCCTTTCACAGAAACATGTGGTGGATAATAGGACGACAAATAGGTAATCCAGTCTAAGTGCTTGTACGCTTCAGGGATACTCACCAACTTGCCACTGCATATGAGCAACCACAGTCCCATTGACCTGTGGGATTATTCCTGGGTATGTAAATGCAGGACTGGGACCTAACACCTTCTCTAACGTATTCCTCAAGATCTGCCATAAGAGCAGAGCACTTAATCCTTGGCAGACCTGTTCTTACCATTCAGAACATTTGATGGGGGCCTCTCAATCCAATATTTGAGCTCCCTACTTTTGAATGATAAGCCAGGTGCTTTATCGTCCGAGCCTTTGTTGTGATCTTTCCCCTGCACTATTTTAATGTCATAGTGTCTGCATCCCCTTGATTAAAAATGCAGCACTAGCTAAGAAAATGGGTTCCTGACAGCTCACATGTACCTTGTACTGAGCAAGGAGTTTCCAGAGGTGCTTAAATTCTTGCAGGGAGAGTCTTCCATTAGACTTGAGCTGCATGTGTGGTTAAGGCTTAAACGTTTAGTGGCAGCTAATCTTAGGTTTCCTAGGAGCAGGATGCCATTTAGGCCATGGCTTGCCTCACCGAAAACCAGATGCAGGAAGCCCCCCCATGGGAAAAGAGCCCTGCTAAAGGGATCCTGCTCCCATGAAGCTGGGGAAGGCTAAGGTATTCCTTGCTCCAAGCAGGGGTCTGAGGAGCTATAGAATGCACAAAATAAATGCGACAAACTGTAAATATAACGGAGGGCCATTAAGCAGCAAAGTTATATAGTGCCTTTCGCAGCAATGGATCGTGAGGCCGTGGCCCTGTGGAAATGCAGCCACCTTTGGGGAGGAGTAAAAGTTGCTTGGGGCCCACAGGGCATTACCTGTAGCTAGATTCTGGGTATGTCTACACTGCAACTGAACTTGATTGTAGCACAGGTAGGCACATCTGTGCTGGCTTTAATGTAGCCAGCACTGATAACAGTAGATGTGGTGGCATGGGCTTGAGGGTGGGCTCGCTGTGCATGTAGGTACTTAGGTGGCTAGTCCATGCTGCCACATCTACACTGTTAGCATGGGTTAGAAGAGCTAGATTAAAGCTAACTTGGGTATGCCTCCCTATCTCGTCTCTGAACATACTGGGGAGGTGAACAGACTTGAGGTGGGAGGGAAGGATAGCGCCTCCTCAGCATAAGGTGTAGAGTAGTCATAGCCCCATTAGTGGTATTAGCCCCCAAGATCTCCATGGACCTCCCTTCTGTTGCACCCTGCTCCTACACTGGCACAAGGCCTTTAGATGTAATGCTGACAGCAGGCGGGCTCAAACCTGGGACCACTGGAGCTTAGTGCCTGAGCCTCTATTGCATGAGCTAAAAGCCGGCTGGCTGTTAGCTAAGGCTGTAGAGCAGACTTATCAATCAATCTCCCTCTGCCACTAGCTAGGACAGAACACCACACCCAGAAGGTGTGGGGGGTTACACACACAGCATCTCCCTGAAGGAGGTGTAATATCTGACCCTGCGTGTCCTCCCACAGTGCTCTGTTCTCTGCAGGTGAGGCTGCCTCTGGCCTCTGCCTCGCTCACAGCACCATGGCTGTGGTTGCCACAGCCCTGAGAAAGCAAAGCCCCCTTACAGTGAAATAAGAGTAAGTGGGTGGTGCTGCCGTCAAACCTGGCTGAAAGAGGCTGCTCCGCTCCTTAAAGGCTAGTATAGGTCACACTGGATAGGGGATGGGTACCAATGTAGTGAATGAAAAAAATCCATCTTGAATAAAAATGTGGGGGGAAGTGGCTGTGTCAGCACCCTCCATGTGTCCTGCATTCCGTGCCTGTTTAGACGGCAAGAGGGTGCAGTAACAGGAAAGCTGGAAAGACAGCAACTGGCTGCTGGTCATTTTTATTCATTTGCTACAATCTGTAATGTCTGGCACTGTCTCAGAGTTGTTCCAAGGCCCGGAACAAAAAGACAGCACGAGAGCATGCAGCGGGGAGAATTTATGTTTTCATCAAGGAGCGCTCTTGTTTTACAATGGCCAGCAATGCATTTCCAGTGTTGTCTTGTTAACAGTTGGAGCACTATGCCATCCATCTAACTAGAAGAGGTACACACCAAAGGATGAATAGTTTGCCAGGCGTTCACCTGTGATTCAGCAGTGACACATTGCTGCTGGCCACTCCAGCCCTGGCGGATGTCAGGGGAAAGGCAATCATAGCTTCATTGTTCTTGACATAAACTTAGAGAAGCGGGCTTGGAGTTCCAGTTCACAGGCAAGCCCAGGTTGGCAGCCTTAGAGGAAGGATGGGAAGAAGTAGTGTTAGGTTGAGCTATACAGTGGATCTTACGGAATCCCAGCATAGTCCTGTGGAAGCTGTGCAATGTCCAGGACTGGGGCCAAGGCTTGTTAACCACAGTGCATGGAGAGTTCAGAAGAAGGGGACTATGTAATTAATAGAATAGGTTTTAAAGTAACTTGGGAAGGGCCTATAGCTCCCAGCGAGCTCCTGACAGCAGATTCCACCCCCCGAAGGAGTGTGCATGGCAAAACCCGGCATACATTGTGGGGAAATTATTTGATGCGTGTGGCCAATACTTATTTGCAGGTTGTCCGAGGGGGAAGCTCAGCTGAGCCATAACTGAAGGAAAGGATAGGCTGCAACGGGGGGGGGGGGGGGGGGGGGGGGGTTAGTGCCTTTGCTGAAAGGATACATCCATCAGAGCTAAAATGCCTCTGCATGACTCAAAGCAGAATCCTCTGCCCGGGCTGGCCAGCCAATCTATAAGAATTGATAAAACAAAAGTGATCAGACAAAGAACAAAAAGCGCCCTGGATTAGGTCTCTACCTCCAGAGAGCAGGGCTCCAACCAGGTCACTGTTGGGAGGTGGATCTTAGGGATATGGACCACCCTGGGCTAGACAGAGAGAGAGAGAGAGAGAGAGAGGTGTGTGTGTGTGACTTCTCAAATGGACCCCATTGGAGGGATGTCATTCAGCGGCAACCCAAAGGTAACTAGGTCCCATACAAATTTGGTGATCTCTGTCCTCTACTGTTTGACCCCTCCTTTTCAGTCTCTGTCACATGCTGCACCCAATATTTGAGAGGTTGGGGGAGTGGTGAAGGCCAGGACTAGACTTCCACCAGGGAGTGTTGCAGGTGGGCATTGAGCTGACATGGCAGAGCTGTGAGAGGTAAGGGGGGTGCTGCATGTCTGGTTGGAGAGGACCTGTGACTGGATCCCATAAAAAAGCAAGTGTGCGGCCTAAGCAGAGCTGTGTGGTGATCCTGGCCTGGACCAGCAGGGCACTCCGCAGGTCAGGGCTGTGTGGGGACCCAGGACTGGAAAAACAAAGGTGCTGCTGGTCCCAGTAGAGAGCACGTAGAGGCACAGGGGCATGCCAAAGTTCAGCAGCTTGAGCTGTATGCTCAATGTGCTAGGAAAGGCTAAGTGCTGACCTGGATTGGAGCTGGGCTGTTTCACATCTTCCTTCATGTGAACATTAATTTTTTAATAAAAATTAAGCATAACGGGAATCCCGGAGAGGTTTTTCTATTATCAGAGGTCTACCAATCTTACTGAGCATTTTCCTAGGACCATCACGGTTGGTTAGATCTATGGCTCCATCTAGTTCACACTAGATCCAGGGTAGGAAAACACCATTAACTGGCTCATAAAGAGCTTTACCTTTCAGGAACACTTCATTGAGGAGCCTTTGCAGCTGTGAGGCATTGATGTCTGAACCCTAATGCAGAACAAAGGACACAAGTTTATAAGCACCAGGCTTCCTTACCCTCGCCCCTTTCCTTATTCTCCACTTGCTTACACCATTGCGAATCAGGAGTAAATCCACTCATGGCAGTAGAGTTACACAGCTGCAAATCTGGTGTGAGCTCAGAATCAGACCACCTGAGTCTCTGAACCACCCTTTCTTTCTAGAACAATAATTTGTGCTGGCCATGAACCCTAACCCAAGCATTCCCATCATTGCTATGAGGCAGAGCAGTATTATCATCCCCAGTGTTGTACGGATGGACAACTCTCTTAGGGAAACCCAATACTGAGAGATGTTAAGGTCCCACAAGGAGACAGTGCTTGAGCTAGGAATGGAACTCAGGTCACCTGACTCCCTATCCTATGGTTTAGCTACATGACCATCCTTCCTGCCTGCCTATTTTTATTTTAACTGGTAGTGGATAATTTGTTATGGAGAAGCCGGGCCATCTAAAGGAGTAGCTGATTCCTAGAGCCAAAGGGTCAGTGTCTCTGTATTGGCTGACCCGTGCTCAGCGTAAGTCTGAAGGTCCGGAGGAGAGTGGGGGAAAGGCATTGTTTAGCCACCTGTGTCTCCCTGGGGTGGCTGGGCACCGGTAAGGTTCCTGGGATAAGTTAGAGCAGCCTGAAGTCTGCTTTATCTTGTGCCAGCTGTCAGCAATCTTCAGGGATTGTTGCCAGAGATAAGCTGATGCAGGAGCACACTAGTGCCTCCCCTGCCCCCCCCACACACACTTTTCTGGCCACGAGGCATAAGAGCGGATACACTGCATTTACACTACTGTACATTTTTGCACTGGTGAAAGCTAGTGAGAATCAGGCTCCTTGTCTCCTGCTCTACACTGATGCTATAGCTCTCAGCTGCCCGACTCATGAGTCATGTAAAATCTTCCTGCCCTGCCCCTATCGCTCCCCAAGGCCCTCCAAGGCATTCTGTGTGACAGACTGTCATTTTTCACCTTTATGCATTGATATAACTATTAACTGTGAGAGGTCTATTGTGTAAAGGCTTTTGGCAGTGATTTTGACTAAGTCAAGGAGTTCTTTTATAACAGTTTATTAAACCATTAAGAGCATCTCCTGTGGACACACACAGCTTGGCTCAGAGAGAGCTGGAATCAATGACTCAAATGCTGACTGATGTCTGCTTTCCAAATGCAGCAAGTGCAAGCTGGAAACCGTTCTGATCAGAGGGAAAAAATATCCAAGGATTATTTCTAATTGCTTGTTTAAATAAACCCTAAACAATCATCCCCTAATATAGTGAGCCGTCCATTCTATTCCTGCTCGCTCTCCCACTTTTCTGTGGATTTTGGCAGCCAGATCAATGCTGTTTTGAAGGTATCCACTTAAGGAATGATAGGCCCACATTTCCAAAGACATTTTTCTACATGGATTGATAGCAAGACGGGAGATTTTTCTTTTACAACTCCACTTGTCTTTTTATTTTTTCAGTAATCGGCTGTATTCAGGGTACCTGTGTAGCATATCTGAGGAAGACGTTTTCAGAGGAGTTGTCTTGACTCTGCTTGGGTATGTCCTGGATCACAGCAAAACATGTACATATGCAAATTAGTGACAAAAGCCATGGGAGCCAGAGCCAGATCCATATTATTCACATAGCTCTGTAGCTGTACTTTAGAATGGACAAGGTATGTACAACAAAGCATACAGTGCTGCCTTAGAGACCCTGCAGTCTAAAGGCAAGAAGAGATACAATAGTGATCAGGCAGGAAGTGGTGTGTGGATGTTATAACTTTATAGAATGAGGGATTTGGGGGGGGGGGGGGGAGGGAGATTCAGAGGATTTGAAGAAGAGGGGGTGAGTTTGGCCTCTCTTAAGTGGGAAGATGTTTTCAGCATAGGGAACCACATGAAGCCAAAAAGTAAGTAAATGGAAGAGCCAGGAGTAGAGAATTTTAGGTGGAGTACAGGAAATGGGAGGAAATCAGGGCCAGTTTGTCACCTGGTGCAAATTGATGTCACTATATTGAAACCAATGGCTCCCTGCCGTTTTAGACCACGTGAAGAGCTGGCCCATAGGCAGGGATAGAGTTGTGGACAGCTTTGGAAGTGGAAGAAATGGGAAATCAGTGCAGAAATTCAAGAAGAGGAGGGGAGAAATGATGGGAGCTGCCTGAGAGGAAGATTGCCTAGACAGCAGTGAATTAATACTTTAGGGCCTAATCCTAACACACATGTAGCCTCTGACTCCAATGGGATTACCAAGGACCACCTACCTGTGTAAAGTTTGCAGGATTGGGCCCTGTACTTACATATGGCAAAATATAGGTTGTTAGTTAGTGACATTATTTAAGGAAATTGAAAGTTTGTTAGTATAACTGGATAATAGACTAAACAATAGGTTTCTCTCTCCATAACAGGGCTTAATAGCGGACTGGAAAATTAATGACTAGAAATGGCTTGCGTCTCTCACTTACACCATTAACTTCAAAGAAGTCACTCCTGGTTTACACTACTGTGAGAGAGCAGAATCAGTGCCCAGCCTCCAAAGTACAAGAGGACTGTATTGTTGAATGCACCAGGACAGGTGAGTCATAGCTCAGAGAGAGAGAGAATTCTGCAGCTGGACTGACAGACAGTTATACTGTGCTTGGGCTGTAATTATCTGGGCCTGATTCTGAGCTCTTGCTAGTTTAAGAAGTGTAATTCCATTGACTTCTATGGGGTTACACTAGTACAAACCAGAGAATTCAGAATCAGGCCTAGACTCTTGCAAAGACCAATTGTGTCACCCAGTCTGACAATCCGCTTTCCGCAGATCCCTGCCTTATATTAGATGGACGAATCCCTGTGTGGAAAGGGGAGAGAATGCCATGCTGGGGAATGTGACAGTGCTAATGTCTAGAGTGGAATGAATGAGTGATTATTGAGTTTGGTGGCCCATCTAAAATGAAGCAGATGAAAAATTGTTGTGGAAATATTTTGTTTTTTCTCACTAAAATGAAAACACAAACATTTTGTTTCTAGTCGAATGACAGGTTACATTTATTTTTCATGTGATTTTTACCTTTTAATTTTTGTAAATAAATAAATAAATAAAAATCTAGCTACATTTCAAAATGGAAAGCTACACCACTTCAACTTTTTCAATCTTCCCTCCCCTTTGTTGTCCAAAACTAGTTATTGAATTTGATTGGAATTCACAAATAGTTTCAGGTGACCCTAAAATTTAACTCAGCTCTACTGCTGACAGCGATTTACTTGATGAAAATGCATCGGAAAAATGCAAATTAAAGATTAAGGGCCTGATTCTGAAACTGTCCCTCACATAGACAAGTTACTTATTCTGTGAGTACTCCCTCTCATAGCTCAGTACAAAGGTGGCAGAGCTGTGCCCAGAGACATAAGAACAACCGTACTGGTCCGACCAAAGGTCCATCTAGCCCAATATCCTGTCTTCGGACAGTGCTCAATGCCAGGTGCCCCAGAGGGAATGAACAGAACAGGTAATCAAGTGTCGCCCTGTCGCCCATTCCCAGCTTCTGTCAAACAGAGGCTAGGGAAATCATCCCTGTCCATCCTGGCTAATAGCCATTGATGGATTGATCCTCCATGAACTTATCTAGTTCTTTTTTGAACCCTGTTATAGTTTTGGCCTTCACAACCTCCTCAGGCAAGGAGTTCCACAGGTTGACTGTGCATTGTGTGTGAAAATACTTCCTTTTGTTTGTTTTAAACCTGCTGCCTATTCATTTAATTTGGTGACCCCTAGTTCTTGTGTTATGAGAAGGAGTAAATAACACTTCCTTATTTACCTTCTCCACACCAGTCATGATTTTATAGACCTCTATCATATTCCCCCTTAGTCATCTCTTTTCCAAGCTGAAAAGACCCAGTCTTTTTAATCTCTCCTCATACGGAAGCCGTTCCATACCCCTAATCATTTTTTGTTGCCCTTTACTGAACCTTATCCAATTCCAATATATCTTTTTTAAGATGGGGCAACCACATCTGCACACAGTATTCAAGATGTGGGTGTACCATGGATTTATATAGAGGCAATATGATATTTTCTGATGTGAGGCAGGTGGCAGAAGAGAAAGCAACAGCCAGGGTGGGGTGGGGAGAGGAGGGTTGCAGCAAAGAGACTGGTTAGTGGCTGGTGCCAGGAGATCCATAATATTGATTCACACACCTTCGGTATCTAAGTCATTTTTCACATGTTCCTACCTTTGGCATCACTGGGCTGAGCCTGCTTTTCAGGTCCCTAAAAAACACCACAAGAGTCACAAAAAGACAGCCTTCTAGCATTTATTTGCAGAGGGAGGGAGGGGGGTGTGTGTGTGTGAGAGACAGAAAACTCCCAATCACCCTGTGATTGTGCTGACACTTTTCAGGTGTTTTGGTTCAGAATCAGGCCGTTGAACTCTGTCTAATCATCCCTGCTGCATTAGTAAGCACAGTGGGCCTGATTCTCTGCTCACATTGGTTTCAAACTGTTTCAAAGTTCACTGACTTCTCTGGAATCATTCTTGAGTTACACCACTGTAGGGAAGAGGAGAATCCAGGGCAGTGTGTGCAACAGCAGGACTAGTTTGGCAGCGCTTTCACCACCAGGAGGCACTAGGGGGTCCATCTCCACAGTCAGCTCTTACATGAGCAAAATCTCCTGGTTACCTTAACATGAGCTGTAACATTATGAAATGTCTCTAATTTTCCTTTAGCACATGAATACAAGATGGACATTAATAAAAAGGCAAAAGGATACCTGAGGACATTTAAAGGCAAATTTAAAATAGAGCACACATTTATAGCCAACATAAAATTAACCTGTGGACCTCACTGCCACAGGATGTTACTGAGGCAAATACAGTTGCAACTCCTAACATTCCAGTTTTGCCTTAGATGAAGGAACAAGCTCACCTCAGGCTTTGCAGCATGCCCTATGAAACCCTATGCTTGTTGTAGGGCAGCAGTTCCCAGACTGGGGTCCCAGTGGCCCCTAGGGTGAGCTACCTGGTCAAATGATGATAGCTGCTCCTCCACTTTTCCAGTTGCTACCCTTACTGTCCATGAGTAGTAACTTACTACTCAGGTAGAGAAAGGATGGTGTACACGAGTTTGCCGGGGCTCGACCCGCTCCGGGGCGGCGGGGAGCCACACCGACTCACTATCCGCTGGGGCTTGGGTGCTTTGTCTGGCTGCAGGGTCTCGCCTGGCAGCCCTTGCAATCCTGAAAGATACAGGAAGCCCGACCCTGGCTCAGGGCGGGCACCAACGTTGTGTCGGGGCTCAGATCCTTACTCAGGGTCGAGCAACAGTAAATAAAATATTGAAGCCCAGGCCCTAGGTCAGGGCAGGGCAACAAACACTGTGGCAGAGCTCAGGCCCTCAGGCAGGGCTGAGCAACAGTAATAGGCCTAAGCCTCAGCAGGCCTGGGAGAGGGGAGACTGCCACCCACAGGTTGGGTGGCAGGGGGGACGCAGGCCCTCCCACTCCACTGCGTCCCAGCCCGGGGCCCTAGCAGCGGCAGAAGACCCGCTGCTTCGTCAGTGGGGATCCTGGCTGCAACACACTGACGTCGGCTCTGGCAATGCTGCAGCCAGACTGGGGTCGGCTGCCCCCGGGCTGCTTCCACACTCCCCCTCAGGGCCTACCTGGGTGCTGGCGTCAGCCTCGGGGGGATCCTGGACCATGGGTTCGTCCGGCCAGGGATCGTTTGGCAAATCCGGGAGCTCCTCTGGATAGGAGGCGCAGGGCAGGCCCGGCGGCTCCTCTGGGTAGCGGGCGCAGGGCAGGCCCGGCGGCTCCTGGTGGCCACCCCGGGCCGCGGAGGTTTCCCAGCCCCGAGCTAGGCTGGAGACGTCTGGTCTCTCCGGCTGCTGGGGCCTGAGTGAGTTCTGAGGGCCCGGCTTTATACTTCCAGGTCGCCGCCTGACCCTCTGAGGGGCGGGCTCAGAACTCCCTAGCTCCGCCCACTCCGGCCTCCAGATGGGCTCTTCCCCTTCTGGGGCGGCGGGGAGCCACACCAACTCACTACAGATGGCCTAGTGGTTAGGGCACTAGCCAAGGACACAGCAGACCTGGGTGCAACCCTGTGCTCTGCCACACAGTTCCTGTGTGTCTGCGGGGAAGTCACTCAGCCTCCCTGTGCCTTAGTTCCCCCATGTAACAGGGGGATAATAGCACTGCCCTACCTTGCAGGGGCATTGCAAGGATAAAGATTGTGAAGCACTTTGAGAGCTACTGCTGGAAAGTGCTATATAAGAGCTAGGTACTATTACTATTGTACTCCCAGGATTTGAATGAGACTGTGTGTGGAGGATGTTACTACTGAACCTGAGTAAGAGTGGCAGAATCCTGCTCACTGGAAGAAGCTCAAAATACATTGGCCCAGATTGTGATTCCCTTACTCACAGGGATGGGCAGTTATTCACATGAACAGTCCCAGTGAAGTCAAGCTAGCTGTTCCAGAAAGAAGCAATTGCTGTAGCTGGCTTGGGGATGCTTTGCAATGACAAATGAGAGAAGATGTGTCCACAGGACAATCTCATTAATTAAGCCGTGAGCCATGCTATGTAAAAGTCATGGAACCCCACTACAGGGTAGATTGAAAATACCAAGGCAATGCCACTGTGCAATATTACCTAAGGCAATTTTGTCAAGGGTGAATGCTGTGGCTTAGATTTTTTTTTTATGAAGACTAGTCATTTCTATGAAAACATCTGCATTTATGCTGACTAGGATAAAACTTACACCCTGTGTCCCCAAACCTACAATCTTATCCTTGTGGGTGGATCCGTACATCTGTGTGGAGCCCCATTGAAATTAATGGATCTATGCAACAAGTCCACCCACATGGATCAGACATCAGGCACTTGGATTGTAAACTCCTTGGGCTAGGCACTGTGTCTTTGCATACACCTAATGCAATGGAGATCTGATCCTGACTGGGGCCTATTGGTGCGCCAGCAATATAAATATTAAAGAACTACTAATACAAGCCATCAGCCTTCCTTTCTTAGAGCAGGTGTCCATCCCAAGCTGGAGGGAAGTCTCCCACACATATATAGCATAGTATTGCTCCGTTTGGTGCTCTATAGGGGATACTCTGTTCTGGAATCATTACTGGACTAGATGCTCCTAAATAGACCCTTCCTCTGTTCAGCTATGGCAATTCCTGCGTGCCCATCTGTGTGCCCAGTCTGAACTCCTAGCATCCCTGCCAATACACTCCTTGTCACTAACCACTCTCTTTGCAATAAGCTTCCACAAAACATTAAAATAAAACACCATATTAATGACCCTGGTCTTGGATGTTCAGAGACAACCTTGGAAGCTGGAAAAAAGGTACATATAAACAGTATGTATAATGATCTTACTCATTGGAGTCTTGGCACCTCAGAAAGATTCGTAGGAGGAATTCAGCCTCTTGGCCTTCTTCTGATGTGGCTGGAACAACAACATAGGTCCCGGGGCTCAAGTAAAAGTAATTGGTGACATCTCGGGCTGACACGTTCAAACCGCACTTCAGAACTTTGGACTTATACTGAGAGAAAAATGCAACTGGCAATCTGTCCCTCAGGCCCTGGAACTGAAGGAAATGATTAATTGTACCATGGCAGTCCTCTATTCCCACAGCCCTTTTCATCCACAAAGATCTGAAATAGCTTCTCATAGTTAATCCTGCATATATGGGAATCATTTCACTCACCACTGCAATGCAGTCATCTCTGGGGTGGAACATGGCAGTTAATAGTGCACAGCAGCGCTACACAACAGTTAGGGAAGTGAAAAAAAGCTGGGGGAATTTTAGGTGGGTGGAGTGTAGTTAGTTGATCTGGAATGTGCCAAGAGAATGGGGGTAATAGCCTAATTCCTGTGAAAATTTCCTTGGGGTATGTCACATACATGAGTGCTCAGAGCCCCGGTTAAACATTTCATCCAGAAGACAGCGTCTTTAGCAGCAGTGCCATCCTTGCATCAATTCTCATAAGAAAATAATGTAGCCTGATCTTTCTTTGGTTATTCCAATACTTTTGCTGAGATGAAACAATAAATATAATGTAACAGCTGTTACTATGATGACATGTAAAGATAGCGTAATAAAAACCCCTTACTAAACAAATTCCCTCAAATACATTGGAGTGTATAAATTCCATTTAGAATGGCTATACAGTGTGACAGTTATTTATGAGCCATGCCTTTGGGAGAAAATAGTATAAATCTGCTATCTTGGGGAAGGGGAAAAGACTGTGTGCTTGTCTAGACAAGCAGTTAGAGCACAACAAGCTGGTGTGTAAATCTACACAGCACTGGCTTGCTGTGCACTAACAATCTGCCTGGACCTTACTACCACACACTAAAAGTTCCTTAGTGCACTTTGATCTACCCCGCTTTGAAATGGGAGTAGGTGAATGTGCACTAGGAAATGTCCAGTGTGTGATACCATGGTCCGCATGGACAGTTAGTTACAGGGCAGGCTAGTGCGAGGTAGATTTACACCCCAGCTTGCTGTGAAATGAGTGCTCGTCCAGACAAGCCATGTTATAGAGGACATGGGAGCTGTCTGGACTGCCAGGCATTAGGGGACAGATCCACAGTTAGCATAAGCTGAAATCAATGGAGGTGTCATTTGGCATTCGGGTCTTATTCTGAACTCCTGCTGGTGGAAAGTGGAAGTATTTCCCATTTATGTCACTGAAACTGGTGTGACATCAGAATCCGACCCTAAATATTTACCCAACTCTATCACACACCATTAACCCTCCATGTCTGTCTATATATACCCTGCACAGCACTTCTGTTACACTGCCAACACATAACATCCGTTCTGCTTCAGAGTGGCGATATGATGCGTCTCACAGTGTATCGAGAGATTAATAATGATATTGCTGCTTTGTTCTGGGAGCAAACGTTAGTACATGCTATAGTCAGACCCAGTGCCAGCACCTCCAATGTAAACTTCTTAGGCCCGGTCTATGTGGGAAAGTTTTTTCGGGATAACCTAAGGAGTGAATCTAAACCAATAATAGTTATAGCACTATAAACCCCAATGTAGACACACTTATTCTGGTATAAGAATGTTCAGATTGGGGATTATATTCCAGTATAACTTGTAAAACCTTTCTGTGTAGACACACAGCCTTACACAGTTCTGTTACTGCCCCTTGCTAATGACTTGTAGCAACCTCGCTTCAATTTTTGAGCTTCCCATTATAAGGACCTACATTTTATCGCAATTCTGAGGTGTACCAGTATTCATGCTTGAGCTAGATTTCTGATAAGATCTGAGCCATAGGCAAATGTCCACTGGAGACTATACTGAGACCACCAAACTCATTTCACTTGTGATTTAAGTCAAATCTGAACACAGAGTTCCAGAAATGAATTGTGAGTGATATAGTGGAATAATGCACTGACTGGATTTAAGGTTAATTTGAGGGATAGATCAAACACCTAACATCCAGCTCCTCCATGGGTATAAATTGACATAGGTCTACTGAAAACAATGCAGCTTTCGCAATATGCACAACTGAGGGTCTGGTCCCTTGATAGGAACATCAGAAAAGTTTTCAGCACTGTGCATATGTCTGGCATCTTCAGACTTAGGCCACTAAATCATCCCTTTGGACTGCTAAGTATCATATTTGAAATATCTAGATTCCCTCGACACTTGTGTTCAGAGCTTGGCAGGATTAATTCAATCTTTCACTCATCTCAGGCAGATAAATTGTGTACTGCTCTAAGTACTGGCCCTGATGCTCTTTTAGCTCATGCTGCTTTATTCAGTAGCACCCCCACTGAAGTCAATAGAGAAGTAACAGTTTACAGGAGAATCAGGCCTGCTGCAAGTAGGTCTTTAAAATAAGACCTCTAAAACCAAGGCCTTTTCTGCTCCTTCTGGATATCAAAGGTCCTCTGACACTTTTTAAAAGAGCAGAGGTTTACCCAGAAGGTCTTGGCCAAAATTCTCTATCTCCACACCAGCATACTGTGTGGTTGTTAACTGCTCTCTCTCCCAGAGAAGGCTGCATTTCAGTGATGCATGTGTATAGATGTTTCTATATTTTATGCTCCTGGAATCAAAAGTGCTATATAAAAGTAAAATATTTCCATGTTAAAGTTTGGACTTGTGCGATAGCAGACAAGGAGATCTACTATCAGTGCAGCAGGGGGAAGGAAACTTTGAAAAATGTTAGTATGAGAAAAGGAAGTGTTTGCTAAAATATCAGAGTAAATGTAAAGAAAACAATACAGCAAAAACCTGAATGTTAATGCTCATGTTGTCTGTGATAGTCATGGAGAATGCAATGCAAATATATGACTGTGTGTACATGAGAATATATATGTGATATAGCTAAAACAATATATAAAACAGAGGTGGGCAAACTACAGCCCATGGGCCACATCTGGCCCATGGGACTGTCCTGCCCAGCCCCCAAGCCCCCGGCCCCTCCCCTGCTGTCCCTCCTCCCCCGCAGCCTCAGCTCATCATGCGGGCAGCACCCCCAGCGGGGGGAGGGGCTGCACTACGGGGGCAGGGGCAGGGCCGCCCAGAGGTCGGGGGTAAGTGGCCCCCCCGCCGCCGAAATGCCGCTGAAGACCCGGACTGCCGCCGAGTGAGTACAAGCGCCGCAGCTCCCCCACTTTGCCCCAGGCCCCCTGAATCCTCTGGGCAGGGGAGCAGGCGGAGGTGCAGGCGGCAGGAGCACTGGGCCGGAGAGAAGCGGCGCTTTGAAGGGGAAACCGCCGCTTCTCTCCGGCTGCGCGGCTGCCCCTGCTCCTCCTGAGTCCTCCACCCATGTTTGCTGGGCCACATTCCGAAAGGGGCGGGGGGCGGGGAGGTTGGATAGGGGGTGGTTAGGGGCAGGGGGTCCTAGGAGGGGACGGTCAGGGGACAGGGAGGGATGGTTGGATGGGGGTGGAGTCCCAGGGAGTGGTTAGGGGTGGAGGGTCCCGGGAGGGGGCGGTCAGGGGACTGGGAGCAGGGGGGGTTGGATGGGTCGGGTATTCTGAGGGGGGCAGTCAGGGGGTGGGAAATGGGAAGGGGCAGATAGGGGCCTGGGGACAGGCAGTTTGGGGAGTAGGGTGACCAGATGTCTCGATTTTATAGGGACAGTCCCAATTTTTGGGTCTTTTTCTTATATAGGCTCCTATTACCCCCATCCCGATTTTTCACACTTGCTGTCTGGTCACCCTATTGGGGAGGCACAGTCTTCCCTATCCGGCCCTCCATACCATTTGGCAACCCCGATGTGGCCCTTGGGCCAAAAAGTTTGCCCACCCCGATATAAAAACACACAATTATTAGAGTTGATCAAATTTTTGAAAATTCAATTTCTGATGATTCCCCTCCCGCATCCAGCTCTGGTAATTATTGATCAATCAAAGAAAAAGGAAAGAAAATGCACATACCTCGGGTTCAACCTGAGGGGAAGAAAGGGGTAAAGCAGGTTTTAAATATAAAATAAGCATGTAGCTGATCTAAAGCTCTGTACTCTATTCCAACTCCCCTAATTAGACAAAAATTTCCTTGGTACTGTTATCTAATGTCAAAGCTGTCAGTTCATGCAAGTCCCCGCACTTCTCATCACCTCCTCTTCCCTCATCCACACTCACACCAGCTCCACTTAATCGCAGCTGATCATGTGTCTCTGAGATCATAGTTCAGCCCTTAATCTCTATGCAGAGGCAAAAAACAACCCCCCCACCCAAAGTGTTATTCTTGCCCCCATACCAGTGGATGCTGCTTACCCTGAAGATCAAAAAGCCGGTGAACAATTTTTGTGCATCTGTCATATTATTGACAGGTTTTCGCATCAGTGACACCACCACATTATAGTTTTTCAGGTCAGGCTCCTCCACTTGGATAAAGTACTGGGGGTTCCTTGAAAATGCACCTGCTGTGAAATGATTAGTATTAGTGATAGTAGCAGTACATCACATTTAAAGGTCCCTGCCAAGATCAGGACCCCGTTGTGCTAGCTGCTATACGTACACATAGTAAGAGATGGTCTCTGCTCCAAAGAGCTTACAACTGAACCAGACAAAGACCAAGTGCAAGAGGAAGGAAATGTTACTATCCCCAGTTTAGAGATGGCGAGCTGAGGCACAGAGAGATTAAGTAACTGGCCAGTGGTCACCCAACAAAGCCGTGGCAGAGTCAGAAATTTAACCCAGATCACCTCAGTCTCAAACCCAGGACCTTAAGCACAATCCCATCCATTCTCAAGCCGGTAAGGGCAGTTTCTATTGAAACCCACGTAGACAAGGATACTCTAATGGAGGAGAGGATTGTGGCTTAGAGGTCATAGCTGCACAATCATGAAAAGGAGGAGGTCCAAATAAATTCTCTTCTTTTCCTAGAGGGCTATTGTTCACCAAGAAAAATATAGAGTATCAGTAGCAATGATGCAGCTCTAAAGATAAAGGCCTTTTGGAGACCAGTCAGACAATGGAGCCAAGGTTTTGGTTAGTGGTAAGAAATGGCCTCAAGGAAAGAGAGCTGGACTAACATGTGCATTTTCAAGATGGACACACAAGACTGAGAAGAGAGCTCTCTCTTAAGATAGAATAGACCTTAAGTATTAATAAATCACAGGGGCAAACACTTGATTGTGTTGGTTTGGGCTTCAGAGATGATGGTTTGCTGACGAGTGGTTGTATTTTGCATTACGGCATGTTCAGTCACAAACTATACTAGAAGGTTGATGGCAAAATATACGTCCATGGAAAGTGGCCTCCTTCTACCCACTGCCAATAGAGTACATCCAGCCATCCGACAGCCACGAGCACTGACGTGTTCATGGACTCTTCACGCAGCCGTGCCTATCAGTCTCACATTGTGGTGAAAGTATCTCATTCTGTTTTTTACAATACGTTGACAAATTGTAATCAATGTTACTAGGCGACTGAAGCCTGTCTATTGCTGAATAATGGAACAGCGTTGAAGATAAAAGCAACCCTTTATTGATCACAAGATGCTCTCATAGATTAAAATAACAAAACCAAATAAGAGATGCAAAAAAACCTGAAGCTCGGCACAACTGAACGATCAGGGCACAGGCAGCAACGCTGATGGCCTCATCTACCCAAAGTACTGTCCTACTACAACAGAGCTTTGGCATTCTAGTCAATTAATTCCACATGTATATGTGTTCTGTAATATTATTTCTTTGCAAAACAGGCTGGCTTCTCGCCAGCTCAGACTCTCTAGCCCCATCTTAGCCCTGGGTCAGCCAGGCCCGATATAATGGACCAGTGAGTTTTGATCTAAGAGAGTACAGGGTTTTTATATCATCAGTTTTGACTCAGTGGCCATTGCTGCTTCCTCAGTTCTGCCTGTTTTGTTTGGAGTTAAGTGCGAGGATGGAAAACATCAAGCTCAACCATTTTTAATCAATACTTTTGCAATCCAGTTCTCAGAGTGGCTTATTATTTGTGTGTGTGTGTGTGTGTGTGTGTGTGTGTGTGTGTGTTGGTGAGAGGGAGGGGAGATAATGGGGATGGGGTAGGATATCAGACTGGGACATTCATTACCATTATGATAGTTGCTTCCACCTGCAGTGAGTCCTCGAGCCCATTGGTTTACATACATGGCCAGGGACCACTTTGTACCACGCTGATCTCCAAAGTCCAGAAATGATGGGGTGTTATCGCAAATACACAGCGAGAAAAATTGCTCTGCGAAAGCTTGATATGACATCCTGGAAAAAAATGTGAAGTTTGATACATCGGTTGGATACTAACGCTTACACTCGCTGTGTGGGAAAGTGGATCTGTAGCCAAGGCAGGAATGCGGTGTTGCAGGCTTCAGCTGATCGTGACAATGCCTTGTGGAAGATGCGAAGTCTCAGAGTGATCACATTCGTACTACCTAAAGCCCTGATCCTATAACTGGATCCTTGGGGGCAGAGCTTTGTGCCTATGTGGAACCCCATTAAAGTCAATGGGATCCACCTGTACACATCCAGCTCCAGGATCAGGGCCTGCCATGGTGAGAAAAGCAAGCCTTGGCTGTGAAGTGGTTGGTCTCCAGAAAGGAAGACGCTGGATCACCCTCCACTCTCCAGTACCCCAGGCCAGCCCCCACCTATACTGCATTCCAGCCCATGTCCACATGGCACTCTCCAGTGCCCCAGCACAGGCCCCACACTGCTCTCTCCAGCCCCATCCTGGCCCACATCCAAATTACATCCCAATCTGCACTCTCTCTCTAGCCACAGCCTATATCCATGCTGCTCCCTCTGCTCTGCTACCCTCTGAGCCTGGCCACACAAGTCTGCAATGAGGGAGACTTCCCGGTGGTTAAAGAGTCTGTAAAAACTGCGGCAAAGCTGTACCTGAGTCTGACCAGACACATGAAAAGCTACAAGCCTAGACCTGTCAGGAAAGCCCAAACTCTGATGGCTGGAGTCCTTGCTACTGTACCCTGCTCCTCGCTGCATCCCCGTGGGTAGTTAATCCTTCAGATTTTGTATTTCTTATTTAACAGGTCACCTACCTTGTGATGGGCAGCCTGGTCTTGTGGCAAGGGCACTGCACTGGGAATCTGGAAACCTCAGTTCTACTCCTGGATCTGCCACTGATCTGGTGTGTGTGATGTTGGGCACATCCCTTCCCCACTGTGAGCCTGTTTCCCTTCCCACCCTCGGTCTGTCAGCTTGTAAGCAGGGGCAAGGACTGTCTCTAACAACGTGTTCATAGAGCTTCCAGCACAATGGGGCTCCAAACTGTGACTCAGAGCAGAAACCAAGTTGATGCCTAAGCAAAGTGAATGAGCCATGGGCCCCAGGGTTCTAAAAGGAAAACCCGGAATATCCAAGCATTAATGTGAACGTACCAGAATTCTCCATCGTCCTTATCTTCACAGAGATCTCTCTTATATTCAACTGGAACTCGATCCCACTGGGGAGAGCTGTGAAAGGCAACAGAACAGCAATGAGGGGTCTGCCTTGGCCTTCATTCAGTGATTCCCAACCTTTTCCATCCCAGAGTCACGCTCCCATCTAGCTCCAGGAGCGCACATGAAAAGTGATGGATTTGAGAGCCTGACTGGTACCCTACATTCAGCCCCAATACAATGGGAGCATTGACAGCACAGTGTGTTTCCAGCCACAGCTACTGTGAAGTGGTGAAGTCCCCCCACCCCACGTTGGCAAATTCTGTGAATTTTTTCTGTGACATTTTTCAGGTTTTTGTTGAAAAAACTGAAAAATGTCCAGTTGCCAAAATACTGAAAAAAGTGGGGTGGGTTGTTTTGTTTTTGGACAAACATCTGAAAGATTGCTACCAAAAATGGACATTTTTTGGTGAAAGTTTCCATTTTCTTGAAAAACCTTTTTCCATCAAAAAACCCTCTTTTGACCAGTTCTACTTCCACCTGCTTCACCCCTGACAGCTGCAGTGAGTGGAATGGTACTTCTGTCCCCATGGGCTTAGCCAGTCCTTGGGCTGACTTTTAAACCAGAGAATTAGCAGTGATGGTTCTGGCTCTGTGGACAGCTGTCTGCCGAGAACCAGATTGGGACTGCTACCCATTTCTCACAGGCCAACAACCAGCTATCATGTGGCAATGACTTGCAGCTACTGTATTTGAATGGCCATCTAGAAGTGAAACGTTCTGCATCCCATTTCCAGTTCCCTGCACATACCCTTTGGTATCCGAATGTTTAGTGAACTACTGAGGCTTTACATTGATATTATTTTGCAGCGCCCCTGCCACACAGAGACCACATTAGCCAGTTGGTTGTGTTATTTCCAAACAGAAGTTTTATAATGAAGTGATAATTGTATTTTCTGCAGAGCATAAGATAAATAAACAGAGCATGAATCAATAAGGTATTGATTTATGCAGTTTACCTTTAAGCACGCTCCACCGAAATTTCAATTATAGCGAGGATTATAGTTCACCCTTCCAAAAAGTGGGACATGCTGTCTGAGCAGATAGCTATTATCCCAGCCTCAAACATGTCTGCATCACCTACTACACTCCCACCGGCCCATCCAAACGTTAAGTGCCAGACTTATTTTCTCAGCGGAGAAGCTATTAGTGTTATCAACCTCAGAGGGAAGGAGAACTGTTGCTATTAAACCACAGTGTTGTAGTGGCACCTGTACAACTCTCTAGCTAGGAGAACACCAGCTTCAGTCAGCCAAACTGGATTCCCCGCTTGATACCTATGTGCAACAAAGTCATCACAATGTTTCCTCTGGATCAGTCTCTTACACTTGGAGGGGAGGGTGACTCCCCAACGGAACAACCAGGAGGTCTGGCCTGCAAAACCCATTAATCCCTTGACATCCATGCTGGTCCTAGAAGATCCATTCAAGAGAAGGGGTATGTGAATGGACGCTCCATGCCTCTGCACTACCTCCAGCGCTCCCCACCCCCACCTCCACCCCTTGGCTTGCAAGCATCCATCCATCCAATAGATCAGTGCGATCATGGCCACTCCCCCTGCTGGCTACTCTCCTTCCAGATTTGACATCCTGGAGGGGGAAAGCAGCCCAGGTAAAACTGCAGCAGGAGCATTCTGCATTGACATCCTTAGAAAGTTCAGCAGCACACAAGCTGCACCCTATATTGGATGCCTGTGGAGCATTAAACAGCAGAAAATTGCGTAAAGGCATGTCCAGAACCTGTATTAGGTGAAAACAGTAGCTATCCAGTCTGAGATTTACCTGTAATTATCCACTGTGAAAATTGTTAGCTGAGAGAAAGAGGGATGTCTGAACTAGACCCAGTCTGGAGTAAGTATAAAAATAACATTGCATTTATGTTTTCAATCTCAAATTGGGTTCTAGAGGGAGGTGGGTTTGCAGATGGAAAAAGGGCTTAAAGCAGATTAATTTAGAGTTGCCTACTCCATTGTAGTCGGCCCTGGACAGAGTCTCCTTGCAGTAAACCCACAAAAGTTTCACCCTTTTTATGAGATCAAATCTTTAAAGCTGTACCCATCACTCCAAGGCCCTCTCCATTCCCCGTGACCCCAAGGATTCCACACTCTGATTATATCTTCCCAGCCATTCTTGTATGGTATCTGTAAAGGAAAAGAATAAAAAGCCAACCATAGTCACAGCCTTCTGTGATCAGGATATACAGTAATACAAATGTATCTTTTTATATATATCTTTGAGGACTCGTTTAACTCCTGCCCTCATTTGGCTGCAGCTAAAAATCAATGTCTCTTTGCTACATTGTATTAGAAACAAAGCATCAGAGAACACTGCACTCATTTTTTCCTTAGCATCATGAGTCAGAAGCCTTCCGAGGGAAACAGTGGGGGCGAAAGACCTCTCTGGCTTTAAGATTAAGCTTGATAAATTTATGGAAGGGATGGGTTGATGGGATAACGTGATTTTAGTCAATAGGTCAATAATGTGCCATCGCTGGTAATTAGTAACAATGCTCAATGATGGGATATTAAAAGTTACTACAGAGAATTTTTTCCGGAGGGTCTGGCTGGAGAATCTTGCCCGCATGCTCGGGGTTCAGCTGATCGCCATATTTGGGGTCGGGAAGGAATTTTCCTCCAGGGTAAATTGGCAGAGGCCCTGGAGGTTTTTCGCCTTCCTCCGCAGCATGGGGCAGGGGTCGCTTGCTGGAGGACTCTCTGCGACTTGAAGTCTTTAAATCATGATTTGGGGACTTCAACAGCTGAGTCAAGGGAGAGAATTATCCCAGGAGTGGGTGGGTCAGCTTTTGTGGCCTGCATCATGTGGGAGGTCAGACTAGATGATCATAATGGTCCCTTCTGACCTTAAAGTCTATGAGTCTATGAGAAGCACTGACTGCCTTGCCACATCACATGACTGTAATATGCTAATTCTGTACGACTGCCAGCAAAGCCAGTGACTTCGTAGTACAAGGCCGCCCATGATTAAAATGTATCTATATGGAGTGGGGAGATGCAGTGCAGCATAAGGCTGAGAACAAGGGACTGGGGAACCTGTCTGTCTGGCTATTTGTGGTATTTCTAAGGGTATGTCTACACTACGGGATTAATCCGAATTTAGATAATTCGAATTTGGGAAACAGGTTGTATAAATTCGATTGTGCGCGGCCACACTAAGCACATTAATTCGGTTTTTAACCACATTAATTCGGTGGTGTGCGGCCACACTACCCCATTAATTTAACCACATTAATTCGGTGGTGTGCGGCCACACTAACCCTAATTCGAATTAACAAAATCGATTTTGGCGCTACTCCGCTCGTCGAGGTGGAGTACAGAAATCGATTTTAAGTGCCCTTTAATTCGAATTAACTGGCTCTGTAGTGTGGACGGGTGAAGGGTTAATTCGGATTAATGCTGCTAAATCCGAATTAAAGTCGTAGTGTAGACCAGGCCTAAAATGCCTGCCATCTGGGAATCCAATCCCTGACTCCTGGCTTCTATTCCCAGTTTGGTGTTTCCCATTAAGGCGGTGAGCTTGTGTGTTCTGCACAAATTGGAGCATCTGGACTTGAGTCTCTTCTTGCTTTCTCTAGTGTAACTGAAGAATAACTCCACCAAAGTTGGCGGGGGTGGGGTAAACTGGTGTAACTGACAGGAGAACCAGACCTTCTGTGTGGGTCCAATTCTTGTTCAGATACAAAGAGTTCCTGGAAGTAATGAAGGCCTGGCTCACTGTGGCTAGAACACCTTCCAAGGCAAAGAGGCATCATTTTCTGGTAGGCGTCAAAGTGCTTTCCAAACACAAAACCTCCCAACCCTCCACACCAACGAGGTAGGCAAGTATTATTTTCCCCCTTGCACAGAAGGGAAACTGAGGCAACAGAAAGTTAACGGACTTGTCTGTGCCCACACAGGAAGTCAGGGATAGAGCTGAGACTAGAAGCCCAGGTTTCCTGACTCTCAGGCCTGTGGTCTAGTCAGCAGCCATGCTGGGACAGCTCCTCTGCCAGTGTAAATCTTCCCAGCTCCATTTACTTCAGTGGAGCTACACCAGCTGAGACACTCACCCACCCTCTCTTTCTTTCCATCAAGTGGTCATCATCAGCATGCTCTCATGCTTCCCCTGCTTCACCTCTACCCACTCCTCTCCCCCACAGGGCCCGGGGTCACAGCAACCCACCTTTACCTGGTGGTAGCTGAATGGGGCTCACCCCGGAACCCAGCAACCCCATGCTTAGATCAGCCCAAGGGGTCACTGCTGAGTGAGTCACAAGGGAGGGAGTGATGGGAGCTAGGAATCAAAGCTAGGCCTTTGGCAGTTCAAAGCTGTTAGGGCAGCAGGACCAAAAGCCCTTCCTGAAGCACGCGGACTTTAGTGTGTGTGTTTAAAGGGGTCAAACTTGAAAACATTTAGACCAAAAAAAAGGCAAATTTTGGAAACAATCCCCTTTGCCAAATGCTTTGAGATCCTGGGATAAAAACTACTGTATCATGTATCCTGTGTCCCTCTGTGAATGAGACTCTTTAATCGCTGCTGAAGGCCACGCCCCAGGAATTAGTCCAGGTCACTGTCTGGCTTCTCTTTTATTTGGTCGCTGTTGAAACTAGCCATGTGAGTGACAGATTCATAGCTTTCAAGGCCAAGAGGAACCATTGTGATCATCTACTCTGACCTCCGGTATAGCACAGGCCAGAGAACTTCCCCAGAATAACTCCTAGAGCACAGCTTTTACAAAAACATCCCATCTTGATTCAAAAATGGCCCGTGATGGTGAGTCCATCGGGACAGCTTCTCGGGATGAGCTCTGTCCTCACTCCACAAGAAAAGGTGCTGGCTGCAGTAAGTCATTTGCTTTCCTGGATTATTTTGTTGTGCCAGATTGGTCCATATCCCTTCCAAGTCAATATTAATATTTGGTCAGGGGAGGAGGGGAGGTTGTGTGCAGGAAGGATAAGGCTAAAAAAGTAGAGAAAGTCATTTTTTTATCCAGCACTGAACTCCTGACTTTAGGTCACAGTTTGAAGCCAGAGAAAGTTTGCTCTTGGATCTGTGAAGTGCAAGCTACATCCCTTGATTACAGAAGATGAAGATGCTACAGCCTCACCCTTAATGGGATTTTATTACCCTTGGTCCAGATTCTTGACAAAAAATATGAAATTTAAAAAAAAAAATTAATGGAACAGAAATTGTGAGAAATGTTGATTCACAAGGGTTGAAATCTTTCATTTTGACATTTCAGATTGAAACAAAACATTTTGACATTTCCCAAATCTATGTTTTGTTTCAGTTTGTTGAACTACCCTGAAATGCTTTATTTCAAGCCATTCAATATTAATCTACATTTTCCCATTATGGCACGTTGCCTCTAAGGAGCTGTACTTTGGGTTCCTTTATGTACCAGGCTCCCTGGCTAGACTACATCTCCCATGATGCACTCCGAGGCATGTGACTCCCATGATGCACCACACAGAGTTTGGTCAGTGGGAAATCCATATTGCATTATGGGAGATGTAGTCCTGCAGGGAGTTCAGCCCATAAGGAAGAATGTGAGGCCCAAACTACAACTCCCATAAGACATCGCAATGACAGGAAAATACAACTTTGTTTTGTTAAACTGATTCTAAACATTTCAAATCAGTTCAACAAAATGAAATATTCTGATTCAGGTAAAACACAGGGGAAAAAATCAAGATTTTTTTAGCAAAATTGAGATTTTTCCCACAGAAAATTTTGATTGTGCAGAAACTGCATTTTCCATCTGGAAATTCCTAACCAGCTTTACTATCAGACCCTCTATTAAACAGAGAGGAACTTTTCACCCTTCAACAGCAGAATTTCCTCCAAAGTCCTCAACAGTGGCAGCCTTGCCATTCTGTCATATCCTAATCACAGGCATTCCCTTCCCTGAAAACCATGCATACATCTCACATGTCCCACCCATTAACACATTCAAATTCTCCACCTATCCACTCCCACTCCTCACCTCTACAATTTAGGCGAGTGGAATGGACAAACCATCAGTATAGAGTAGGCTTCTTTTCAAACCTTTCATGTTGTGGCAGCTATTACCAAGATCATGTAGGCCTTGAGTGGGAACCTTACAATATATAACATAATGGGCCATAATTTCCCTTAATTTGATTACCTCTGCTAGCCTGGAATTAAATTAACTCATGGACTGAACATACAAGAGTCTCCATGCATTTAATTTGGTTTTGTCTCTTGAAAACCCTGAAGGCTTGCTTATGGTCTTGCATTTTTGGTAACAGGTACCTTTGGCAATATCATTGGCTGTGGGCGACTGAAGCCAGGAGTGTTAACGATGGGCTCTACTCTCCATCGCTTTCATACGATGCTTGAAAATAGAGAGCTGACCATATTCCCTTTATTCCACACACAATCCTAGACTGCAGAAATTTGGGGCTCGGTGCAGGAATTACAGATGAAATTCAATTCCTTATGTTATGCGGGTGATCAGACTAGATGATCGTAAGGATCCCTTCTGACCTTAAAATCTCTGAAAGCAACTGTGAGTGGAGCAGCAGTCAGTGTGCTAATCAGGAGACGGCCATGGAATAATACAGAAAGAACGATAGGTAGGGAAAAGGTCCCAGTTCTTACTTCTGTAGCCCCGGTGACAGTATAGGCATGGCCTTTCACGAGTCCGTTCTTCAACTCCACGTTGCCAATGGATTGCTGCGGAGAGAAAGCACAGCCATGAGCTCCCTGAAAGACTTGCAAACATATGTTTGTTTGCCCCCCAAACCGCTATTTGGTTAGTTTGGGGGAAAAAGAAAAATGGAGCTGACTTCACTTACATCAGCAGCTCAGCTATAGTGCTTAAGTGCCTGGTGTTTGTTCCCCTGGTGGCCCCAAGCAAATCCAACCAAGTTAATGGAGCTACAAAGGCATCACACATCTGAAAAGCCCATAAGGATCCAGTGTTGGAGCAATTTCCACAGCAGATGCAGTTGTGACAATAGCTGGGGTGGGTCACTGGTAGGAATTGACCTAAGCACCAGTCTCAGCACTTGAACTAAAGGGGTAGTTCAGTTAGTGGGTAGCAGCAGTTGGCAGCTATTTTTTAGTGAACCAAACACTAGAGGCGGCATGACACACACTTTGCCAGTGCACTGCACAGTCTGTATAAATCCATGGAAGTCTCTTTGCAGCACACCAGCAGACAACAGGAGTGCTTTTATGATGGCCCCATCAGCCCAGCAGTGTCCCACCAAGCAGCATGATCTCTTTCCCTGTATCTCAGAAGTGTGTTTTCAGCCTATGAGGAGCCTGCTTTATTCAAATGTAAACCTGCGATTCTACCAACTGAACTAGCAGCCAATACCCAATAGCTGTCAGCAGCAGACATACTGGGTGTCTTCTCCAAAGACCTCCTTTTGGTCTTCCTGCCCTAGAAACTGATCATCTCAAATTCTGGTCCTGAAGTCATAAGGCCAGTTTCTATGCTGGTCTGAGGCGCCAATCAGGAGCTATAAAAAAACAGTTATGGAATCAAGCACTTTTGAGTCGGAAAACTTCCTTTGGGCTTCGGCATCCACTTTCTATCCAAGTAGCTCAGCCCTAGATTTCTGGCATCTTTGCTGATTAGCCCTGTCAAGTAGTCCTTCCTTCTACAATGGTTCAGTCCTGGCCAGGATTTAGTGAGAGTCTCTTTGGTGATGCTGGGTAGCATAGTCAGTCTGAGAGCTTTGGAAACTTCTGGCCAGCAGCCCCAATAAAAAAAAAATCCCTTTATATTCAATACAGCTAAGTATTATTTCTTCTCTACCACTAGGGACGCTACAGGCCCCCTCAGAGAGTACCTATTGTACAGGGGTAGATATGGATTCCTGGTTTCCTCAACAAAAAAAAGTAATATAAATATGGTAAAGGCAAGAAGGCCTGTCCCTCCTGCTTACCCATCCTGGCGTGGTACATCCCATCAGGCATTGTGATTTGGCAGCTGCTTTTAGTATCTCCTGCAGATCAGAAGGAGGTTTCTGTAAAGGAAACTGCACTTGGACTCCACCGGTCAAGTCTACTAACGCATCGGAAATGTAACCCCAGTGCAAATTCTGATAGGAGCCTCGCAACCTGATAAAAAAAAAAAGAAGAAGGGGGAAATGGATTTGTTCCTATGGGCCACCCAAGTAAGCAATGCATAGAAGAAATTAACTGAATGGATGCACATTAAATAATCTCTGTGGTGCACAAACATATTACGAATGTACTACGTGTCATGAGCTGGGGCTGCAATGCACATGCAGATAGGGTGACCAGACAGCAAGTGTGAAAAATCGGGATGGGATGGGGGGGGGCATGTAATAGGAGCCTATATAAGAAAAAGACCCAAAAATTGGGACTGTCCCTATAAAACCAGGACATCTGGTCACGCTACATGCAGACACAATGGTAACCCCTAGATTGAATTTGGTTCCTTCAGCACCAGAAGAAGAAACCTCTACCACCTGAGCTAAAGAGGGATTCCTCTAGCTTTCAGAATTTATGAGGTTGTCTATACATTGGGATCAGCCAGTGGAGGGAGGCATGATCAAATGTGTGTGTGCATATGCACATACACACTAGCCATGTGTGTGTGTAATGCACAAAGAAGGAAATCCCCCACTGTGTAGAGTGCCAGCATGCACCATTGCAATCCCACTTACGCCCAAAGAAGTGGACTGAGACCACCACTGGTTGTGCATCAGCAGGTGAAAAGCCATCTGATAGTAACAATGTTTGAGCACTAAGGAACTCACAAGGCCATATTGCAAGCAGGATCTGTGTTTTCTTATCTTGTGCTTTCATTGCAATTGCAAAAAATCTCGAGTTAGACTGTACTGTAGTTAGAGCATGAATATATACATCATTAAAAACCACAGTGTACAGTGAATTTCATAAACTGGAGAATCAGAAAATGAAATCCAGGGCTAATTGTATTTTGGAACGATGTCCTTGACCTACATTGATGAAAGGAATTTGCCATATGCGCTGGGGAAAACTTCTCAATAGGAATCGCATAAAATAGCAACTCTTGCAATTTCAATTGAATAGAGGTTCAGTTTGCTCTGTTTAAAATCTCACACTGCAAAGTGGTACCTACTTTGGAGTCAACTTTTCTAAAGTACATTGTGGCAAAATTCTCCACTTCTGTGTCTCCCAGTTATCATTTTAACATTTGCTTATTCCTTGCTGAATTCGTAAACTACCCACTATGTGCTTAATGCACTCCCTGTGTTATATAGGTAATACACTGACTTAATTTATGTCATAGCTCCTAGTTGCAGGTCTCAGTGAGTATAACAACTTGCTACTTACTCACAGCTGAAGTGTTCTTCTTTAACTCAAGTAAGACAGGACTTTGCTTTTGATGCTGAGAATCCAAAGTTCGGTCCCCACTGATGACTGTAGTTTTATTCATTATTAGTATTAAGGTAGAAGCTAGAGGCCTCAATTGAGACTGAGGGCCCTTTCTGCGCAAACACTCAATGAGAGACAACCCATACCCTAAAAAGCTTACAGTCTAAATAGAGAAAATGTGGGAGGGAAAACAGAGGTGAAGTGACTTCTCCAAGGCTAAACAGCAGATTGGTAGCTGGCCCAGAAATAGAACCTAGGTCTCCTGAGTCCCATACCAATGGCCTATCCACTGGACCATACTGCCTCTCAGAAAGAAAAGCACATAAGAGAACCAGGGAACTTTAGATCTTCAGTTTAAAATCTACAGCCTTTAACCTGTAATATCTGCAAGAATGTGCAGCCACCGTTCATTACATATCCAGTGCTCAAAATATTGGACCATGGTCCTGAACAACACTACACAAGGTACTTTGTCCAAAGCAGTTGGCACAACATATAGCCACACAAGCACAAGACTCAGCGATGGCAGGAAAGACAGACTTGGCGGGTATATTTACTTGGCATATGCTTTTTCTAGCAGGGATGGCCAGAATTCATTTCTGCTGCGCGGTTGAACAGACAGGTACCTCCCATTGAGAAAAGGCAGCTGGTCGTCTATCACCACATCCACCCAGTCTCCAAAATGCCAGAACTGGAAAAAGAGAAGAAAAGAAAAAAAAAACCTATTGTAAGAATAAATAGTGCTGCCAAATGACAGTCTCCAGAAATAGTCCAAGAGTGAATGTAAACCAGGAATGTAAGTAACTTTGCTTTCTCTCATAAGCTATTTTGTACTGTTGCTGTGTACTGTTAAATAGGTGCTGAATTTCATTTGAGAAGTGGCTGTGTTTCAGTGGTGGGTCATTTCTGGACACAAAGCGCTCTGGAATTACATGGGAGGAAAAGTACATGTAGGTGAGTAAGTATTACCATGACTGGACTAAGGCAGGTGTTTCGAAAAGGGCAGAAAACTAAGTGTCCAAACAAAGTGGTACGCCTCGCTACTCAGCTCTATATGGAACTTCTCTTGGGTACATCTCAGGTTCAGAGATGCTCTTCACCAAGAGATAGTCTTTGGATAGTCCTTTCCCTCTCTTTCCTGTGTCTGAAACCTCTCTAGATCTAGATCTTTCTAAACTTTGACATGGATTGTACTGGACAGGCAGAGCACAGTTGGGGCTATTATCCATCAGCTTGACAAATGAAAAGGAGGCAATTGGCCACTTCAACAGCTGGACAGAACAGGTGTTCTTCTGACTGATCCAGCTGGAGAGTGATCAGCAGGGGATGAACTAACGGAACTGTTGCTAGAGTCATTAGCAAACTAATGTAGTGCAGCAGGACTTTGATATCACAACTGGCCAAATCCATACCTGTAGTAATGCTAAGGACTTCTGTGCTGTTATGCCAGGGATAAATTTGTCCCAGCATTGCTATATTTCCATGGCTGTGTGAGCAAAAATTACAGGAATGCATTGTTCTGTTTGAACAGTATTGGTATTTGCAGTGGGTACCCTCAGTGGCAAACTAGCTTGGGGTTCTAAATGGAATGCAGGTTTGATAATTCTCCCTAGTCTTTCTCAACCCAAACCTTCCATTTAGTTTAGGTTGAAGATAGATGAGGAGCAGTGTTTTAGATTTTGCAAAAGTAAAACCAGGATTGGCTTGAATGCAGGTTCTATTTTTTCTGAACCACCCAGGTTTGAGGAGAGCCCAGCTGGACAAAAGGCCCTGGGTTCAGCCCATCTTTAATTTAGGCACATCATCACAGGAGAAAGACACAGATGTGAGAGAGCTTGGAAGATCTGAAGCACTGGCCTTCCAAAAGGAGGAGCCCTTTTCTGCCACAACCAAGAGCACTTGCTCAACAGGGGAAAGCTCATTGCAAGAACCAACCTGCATGCAGCAGGCCTGTAGGTACAAAGGATTTGGGTTTGAGAATCAGTCACACCTTCATGCAGCACCTCATGTGCAAGCATAGCAGGCAAACATCTTTCTGGAGTATAAACAAGGAGGTGTCTGAGGGATTACTGCAATTTGAATCCAGATAGACAAAAGTAAAGTTCAGAATGTAGTATGACTCTTCCTGCTGTTTGGGGATTAACAAAGTCTAGGAGGGCATCCGAGTATTGAATTACATTTTCCTTTTGCTAGTTTTCTCTTGGATAAAGGGTGCTGCAGATGTTCTGATTGCCATACCCTTTCAGGCTGTGACCTTGTCATGTCTCACAAGCTTAGAAGGTCTGGCCTGGCTAGCACTTGGGTGGGAGTCCTCCAGGCAAACCCCAGGATGCTGCTAGAAGAGATGTTCATCACTCAATAAGGGGCATTCTGCCCTCTGAATCTCCCAGGAACCAGTGACCATGGCCTAACCTCTGGCTTTTGGCCCGAGACTCAGGCTTTGTGGGATTTCTGAGAGTTTGGAGGCAGCCCTGAGGAGTTTAGGTTCTGCAGCTGAGAAAGTGACTGTGAACTGAATAGAAAAGGGTCCTGTTGAGGTAGACTGCACCCACTATTGTGCCAATTCATGTAAACTGAAAATAGATTTTGCTGGTTAAAAAAAAGCTCATCCTTTTTATGTCCTTTCTTTATTTGTCTGGAGAGGTGGCAAACTTCAAGGATCAGGAGCTAGGGGCAGCCAAGAAGAAAAATCTCATGCCATTGAACTCTCTGCTGTAGGCAGGGTGTGACCCACTATGGTGTTAGGAGGTACTTCTTGGATGAACCCTGAAACTGAAGTTCTGACCATTTGTCGTCATTCAAGCTCCCATCAAACTTTTCACAAGAACAAGGACATTAATCCTGGTGCCGTGGCTAGTTTCCATCTCAGGCAGTCCCACTCTACCTTAATTCTTCCAGAGGTTTCAACTGGATAAGAAATACTTTTTCATTTCTTATCCTGAGCTGCTGCACAGGGCTGCAGTATACTGTTCTAATGGCTGCCATGTTCCACTCCAGGGCTAGCTGTGCTTCTGTAATGGGTAAAGGGATTCCTGTACACACAAAGGGCTCGTTTCATCCTTGATGTAACTCCATTAACTTCAGTGTACTTACACTAGGGATAAAATTTGACCCCAAGAATCTAATCCTTGTGAGATGCTGAGCCCCCTTAACTCCCATTGACTGCTTTGGGAGTTGAGGCAGGTTCAGCGTTTGGTAGGAGGCCTTCAGCAGCTCTTAGGACTGTAGAGTGCTTTGAGATCCTGAAGGATGAAAGACACTATAGGAAGATAAGACATGTTTATATCTACTAATGAAAGTGATGCCGTGTTTGTGATGTTACTTGGAACTGAATATTGAGACATACAATGTGGACAGCACTAAAATATCTTTGGTGGGATGATTTAAGGGTATTACCGAAGAGATGCTTTCATTCAGTCTTTTGTTGTCTTGGCTGCTTGTTCGAGGAAAAGGAGAAGGATGTGTATTGATTTGAAGGTGAGAAGACAGGGAAAACATATTTTCAAATACTGGAATGTATTCGTATTGCTTGAGAGTTAAAGTTTGCTCCTAAATAATCTTTTGGGGAAATCTCATGAAAGAAATTCTAGTTTGCCTCATTTTAATGTATGGTCAGCTGGTTTATCTTGTATAATGCCCCTCTGCATATTGGAGATGAGTCAGGATTGAAACACCTGGTATTACTAGGAGCAATGGAACATAAGGACTAGCAAGAACATTCTAGTACAAAGATCTGTTACACTATGGAATAGTCTTTCGAGAGAAATTGTGTAAGCGCCATTGCTAGCATCATCTTCTTTAAACTGGACAAAGTAAAAGAGAATGCACTTGAGAACGATTTTGCATTGTATGGGGAAAGGACAAGGTGATCTAATGGTTCATTTCCATCTTTAGTTTCTGGCACTTTGTGATACTCCAATGTAAAGTCTCCCTCTTATGCCAACTCCTCTAAGAACAGATCATATGATACTTGCCCTTCACCCAATCCAATCTCTCAGAGTTGAATAAGTGGTGTATGGAAAATAGTAACATATCTATCTGGAGGATTCTGAGTATTTCAAGATTAGTAAATTTCAGTTTCTTCCCAAAGAGATTTGTCCCTTAGGATCAGACCCATTTTTAAAATATCAAAACCAGTTATCTGAGCAGTGTTAAAGGGCTGGCGACTCCTGCCTAGCTGATGGAATCTGGTAGGTGAAGCTGCAGAACACAGAAATAAAAAGATCAACTAGACGACAAACCCAGATTTACTATCAGTCATAACTGTCAGATTTGAAACAGAGGCAGGACTTCTGTAAAAAATACATATTTGCACTAATTAATAAGAAGAACAGCATTCACTAGAAATGGGCTCAAACCATAACATTTAGAACCAGGTTCAAATAATCTGACAATTGTGGGTGTCTGGATCAAGAGGGTTGGTTCAGCCCATTAGAAAATAGGGGGCCGTTTGCAAAATCCTGTGCAGGGGATCAGCTTTTGAACTTCCCCAAAATTCAGGGGTGCTTGGATCTGGGGTTGTAGTTCAGAACCATCTGAACACTCCACCCAAACAAGGTGGAGCAAAATCACTATCGCACATAGTACATACCCGGAAATGAAAAATCCCAGCATAATTCTCTTTGAATCCTTGGTCCTTTGGCAGAACATTTTCCAGAAATTGCCTCTGTAATGTCAAAGATCCCAGGGCAGCCAGAACCCAGCAATCACCTTCAGGGAGACAAGTAACAACCAGATGCAATTACACGTATTGCCTCATGATCTCCCTCTGCCTTGCCAGGGTCTATATCTTTCTAACACTTTTCTTTAGGAAACAGGGTTACTGCAGAAGGACTGGAAGAACCAGTTTGGATAAAATAAAAACGTGGGCAGACTGTCCAAGACTCAGAGACACTCGGCCTCAGGGAGCATGCTGCCATCCAGCCACCCATCCATGTATGTTTCTATACTGCACCCATCGCTATGGTATCTGACTGCCATGAAGGAAGAGGGAGCCAAAGGCACTGTGCGGAGGCACTGGGCATCACACAGAAGCTCCTTCCCTTTGTGGGTATCCTAGTTCTACAGGATAGGAAGTGGTGCAGGCAACTGCCAGACCCTGAGCTAGGATGAGCCATTTGATGACAGTGCTATTTCTTCCAGAGGAATACTCTTGTTACTCTCAAAAGGAAACATGATCCTTTTGAGATCATGAGGGGGGTGGGGGGTGAGAAGGGATGGAGCTACAGCAGGACAGAGACAGATACCAGTTTTGGCCCATGGAACTTCATTTTCTATCTGGTCTGGGTCTACCCTTCTGCACCCATAGTTCTGCAGACATAAAGGATGATGGGAGTCATTGAGACATCAAAGTGGCTTGGCCCAAAGGCGCTGTAAAAGACATTGGCATTTAATATCTGGGATGGATTCCGTATGGATTTGTGAGTGTGTGCACTAAATCAAACCAAGCTCTCAGACAGCAGCAAAGGAAAGGACTACGGTCTACAGCTCAGGCTGGCTACCCCCTGAAACAGACCTTTGATCTTACCTATTTCTCCTTGAATGATATCAAATCTGCTAACACCATCCATGATTAAATGGGGATTTCTCTCAATCATCTGAAAAAGAGGGAACGTAAAGACCAGTGTAAGTAACCAACACTTACCAGCAGTGCATCCTTCACAACCACACAGCCTCTCTTATGTCACTTTCAACTGATACCCTATAAGGTCATTATGTGCTACCTCACCGTCCTGGTGATTTGAAATTCATGACTGTTTAAAAGCAGTGATGGGAGAACTGCAAAAGCCCTGGAGATTTGCTTCACATAGACATCCAAAAGTTCAGATGCTTCTCAGAGGTAAAGTCCAGATCAGGGGTAGGCAACCTATGGCACGCGGGCCGAAGGCAGCACGCGAGCTGATTTTCAGTGGCGCTCACACTGCCTGGGTCCTGGCCACCAGTCCGGGGGGGCTCTGCATTTTAATTTAATTTTAAATAAAGCTTCTTAAACATTTTTAAAAACCTTATTTACTTTACATACAACAATAGTTTAGTTATATATTATAGACTTATAGAAAGAGACCTTCTAAAACCTTTAAAATGTATTACTGGCACGCAAAACCTTAAATTAGAGTGAATAAATGAAGACTCGGGACACCACTTCTGAAAGGTTGCCGACCCCTGGTCCAGATGAATGATGTAGTGCTAGTATAGTGCTTTGCAAAGAGAAAGCACTATACAAGCGCTAAGTATTGTTATTTTTATTGTCATCCTCTAAGCCTCCTGGACAGAAATCACCTCTCTGAAACCACTGTGCCACCTGTGTAGGAGCTGGATTTTATAATGTACTATGAGAATTAATGTATGATTTGATTTCATATTGTCAGCCACCCTTTTTGAATAGCAGAAAGGAATGACAGACCAGAACAATCCTTATGACTAATTATGGTCATCCTTTTGTTTTAGAATAAGTTATAAAGCTACTATGGTTTCCTATATGTATTACAAATTAGGAAGTAAGAGACAGGATTCTCTATTGTGTCTATGTTAAGTAGATTAGAGGAACATTGAAGGCCTGGGTCTCAATGTAAATTGTCTTGGTTATTGATTGTAAAACTTAGCAAGGTTTAATTTGCAATGCCCTTTTGCTCAATATAGAATACTACTGTTTGTATTCTCAATCTGTTTGTGTGAATGAGGAATGTATGCATTAGAAAAAGATAAGGTGTGAAGGCCATTGTTATAGCCAGAGTCAAGGAAGAAGGAGTGAAGAAACTTAAAGGACACCAAAGAATCATCAACACGCATCCATAATGAAGGGCAGATTGACGACCCTGAGGTAAAGGCTGGCACCCCTAAAGACAATTGATTAAATCGGAACAAAGGACAGGATGACCCTCTTGGAGGTGTATTGGAATGTTTACACCAATTAAGAAGTAACCAGTCACAAAGTGACACATCAAAATCCATAGGCTTCAACAGAGAAGAAAACCTATAAGAACAGGGTGCTTTGCCATAGGACTTTGGGCTCGTCTTGCCACACTCCAGGAGCATCGGATCGCGACCGATAGAACCCTGCTCCCCTCTGTGACCAATCTGGCTGGCCACTAGATTGATCCAGACTCTGGACTGGTAACTATAAACATCACTGCAGGACCCTGTGTGTGTGTGTGTGTGTGTGTGTGTGTGTGTGTCTGTCTGTCTGTCTGTCTGTCTGTCTAAAAAGCATATGCTAACTGTGGTATTCTCAATAAACACTGTGTGTATTTACCTTCCTCTATAAAGATCCCGTGTGCTTTGTATGAGCATAACACCTGGAGAGTGAGAAAAAGACCTTGGAGCTCTCCACATGCTGCCGGCCACATGCAGACAGAAATGAGAGATTCGGGCTCTCCTTCCCTAAACCATGCTGCCTCTCACAAGGGGAGGAAGAATTACGTTCTCCCTGGCCGGACATCCACAGCCATTCTGCCTTCCACTGGAAGAGGGGGAGACTTTCTATTTAAATCATGATTTGAGGACTCCAGTAACTCAGGCAGTGGTCAGGGGTCTATTACAGGAGTGGGTGGGTGAGGTTAGGTGGCCTGCAATGTGCAGAAGGTCAGACTAGATGATCATGATGGTCCCTTCAGGCCTTAGAGTCTGTGAGGTTCTTTAATGCCTTCATCACCATGACATCTGGGCATTGAGCAGCTCCAACAAACCATGCTGTTTCCTTGAGTTGGGGAGTGGGTGCCCGTCCTTTGGAGGAGAACTTTACGCCTTCCAATCTAGGAATCAGAAGGTAGGGGGACTTGGGATCAGTCCAAGGGAAAAGGAAGTTGGGCCTGGGTGTGTCTTTCTGTAGAGAGGGCCTCAGAAAGCTCAGCTCATTAGCTAGGCATCCCGATTTTGGCTAGGCATCCAGATTTGTGTATGCTTTTCCAGACTAAACCTCTGAGCCTTTTGTGAGTCACACATCCCTAATTTAGATCTGGCTGGGCTGTTTTGCATTATTTCTGTTAATGGAGCTACGGACGCAGGGTTTATTTACTGTGGACCAAATTCCAAAGTCCTTACTGTTGGTTTTTTACTCAAGCTTCACTCAGGCGGAAGCTTCCCTGAATTCAGTAAGAGTTCTGCCTGGATGATTAAAGAGCAAAAGCCTCTGAATTCAACCCTGCATGCCTAATTTTTTTTTAAATGTTGTATAATTCCAAATCAAAACTTGGTGCAAGACAAGGGGGCATGGAATCACCATTGCTTTTCATCATGTTTTTAAACTAGACATTAAGAATGTTAGACAAATTGCAGGGCATGACACTGGATAAGCTAGATTTAAGATTCTTAGCTTATGCAGATAACATCGTACAACTGTCAGCCACATTTGAATTAACGAGGATAGTCTTTGCTACCTTGGAAGACTGAAATGCAATCAACTTGGATTGAGAGTAAATGCTAAGAAGACAAAGTGGTTACAACTTGGAAAAGGGACAATCCATAAAGTGTTGAAATGAAGCAATGGTGAAGTTGTAGAACAAAGTAAAATCTTATGTGTACCTAGGAAGCTCGATCAGTGGGGACGGTCCATCGAGGATGAGGTTAAAAGAGGATGTCCCTTAACTACAAGGGCTGCACAGAAACTGACAAAATTATGGACTGATAAAAGCATTCTATTTGGTACCAAAGTTAAAATTTATCAAGCCCAGTGTACTAACGGTATTAGTCTATGATTTGGAACCAGCTGCATTAAATGAAAGAGACATCAGACAGCTGGAGGCTGTAGAGATGAGAGGGTGTTTTTGAACGACCGAAGGCATAAGGCGAGTTGGATTTGAAATCAGGGTACAGAATTAGCTACAATCAAAAAGATTGTGATAGTGGGGCCCTGCAGAAGACAAACAGATGACAGGACGCCCAGGGAAATAATACAGACACAACTGAAGTCAGTCCGACCATGAGACTGACCATTGATTAGACGGCGGGATATCGTATTCAGGGACATGACCAGGCTGGGCTTACTGGAGGGACAAACCAGGGAAAGGAATGAATGGCAATGCTGTACCACTCCCTAGGTCTGTAAAGATGATTTGGGATTAAAGAGAATTCCATGGGATTTTAGTATTTATGGTAGGAAAATGCTCATTTAAATATCTCTCTGGGTCTTCTGTACGAGTGACCCTTATAATATCTGCCGGCTGAGTCAAATATTTTACACCTCTTGTGTCTTGTTGTTTGCTTAGGCATGTTCATTTGCCTCTGCATTTGGGATTAAACACCATTTCAAAACAGACAGTTTGTTGTCTTACCAACTCTGAGAGGCCAATTAAGTAAGAGAAAAAAAACTTTTGAAGTGATAATCAAGATAGCCCAGTACAGACAGTTTGAATTGGCCTCTCAGAGTTGGTAACACAACTCCCACCTTTTCATGCTCTCTGTATGTGTATATATATCTCCTCAATATATGTTCCATTCTATGCATCCGAAGAAGTGGGCTGTAGCCCACGAAAGCTTATGCTCTAATAAATTTGTTAGTCTTTAAGGTGCCACAAGTACTCCTGTTCTTTTTGCGGATACAGACTAACACGGCTGCTACTCTGAAACCAATCATTTCCAAGCAAACCACACAGACATCACAGTCCACCAGCATGAGAAACGCTGAAGCTACACAGATATTTTAAAATATAGTTATGATGATTGTATGTGACGAGGATGAGTGGTAGGTTGACTGTTGAGATAGGGATGTAGGGAGGTTTGGATCCACTCATCAGCAGTAACTCCACTGATACTTCTTGTGGTACTTTCACTAGTAGTGTCCACCCTCCGCTCCTTATCTTTGCACTCCACCGGAGTTTTACATTGCCTCCCAAAGTCCAGATAAATTCAGGGTCTGCAGAGCAGCAGCTCCTCCTACCTGGATTTTATAGACTAAACTGGGTATCTCCTTCCATCTACTCGTGTGCGGCTGTAGCTACATTGTTATGATGCTAAGGCAGACGGGAATAAGAAAATAACTCAAGAGGCAAACACCACGCAAATGATCACCAGCGATGCAAAGAGAGGAACACAGATCTATCTCCTATGCAAATACATCCAAAGCATGCTGTGGAAGAGTTGTGAAAAGAGTCATTCCTCAACTCTCCCAGAACACTTTAGACTCCCCAAAGACCAGTATGCCCTTTCCTTTGTTTACTGTTACTTCTTTCCCTTCTATTTTCAACTCAATTTCCCATCAACCTGCACTTAGGATGAAAGAATCCGGTGCACTGCTACAGGCTGGGGACCGACTGACTAAGCGGCAGTTCTGCCGAAAGGGACCTGAGGATTACAGTGGATGAGAAGCTGGATATGAGTCAAGAACGTGCCCTGGTTGCCAAGAAGGCTAACGGCATATTGGGCTGCATTAGTAGGAGCATTGTCAGCAGATTGAGGGAAATGATTATTCCCCTCTATTAAGCACTGGTGAGTCCACATCTGGAGAATCGCGTCCAGTTTTGGGCCCCCCATTACAGGAAGGATGTGGACAAATTGGAGAGAGTCCAGTGGAGGGCGATGAAAATGAGTAGGGGGCTGGCGCACATGACTTATGAGGAGAGGCTCAGGGAACTGGGGTTATTTAGTCTGCAGAAGAGAAGAG